TCTTCAGAAACCGAAGATTCAACGATCTTCTCGGGCTCAATGACTGTCGTCGTAGTTGTTGTAGTAATTGGCTCAGCAACTGGAGTTTTCTCAACAGGAATTTCTTTCGTTGGCTCCTCTTCATCATCAGAGAACGTCATTGGCTCATCGAGAACATCCATCCAAGTGCTACTCGTTTCATCAACAGGTAGGCCAGCATATGCTGGTTTCTTGGGCTCTTCAGATTTAATTTCAACTTCAACCGTTTTCGTTTCTTTTGGGAGAGTAGATTCGCTTACAGTTTCAGTTACAGTGGTTGTTAATGTGACTGTCACTGTTGTCTTCGTATTTTCAGAAACTGAAGATTCAACAATCTCTTCTGGCTTAATTACAGTTGATGTAGTTGATGTAACTGATTCAGCAACGGGTGCATTATCAACTGGAATTTCCTTTGCTATCGGTTCTTCTAAGAGAGAAGATTCGAGAACAGTTTCAGTGACAGTAGTAGTAGTTGTTGTGCCAGTGTCTTCTGGGAGCAACGTTTCAATAGGTTCAATACGAGTTGATTTCTCAACTGGAATTTCTTGCATTATGACTTCTTCATTCTTGGGATCTTCTGGTTTCTGTTGCACAGATTTGATTACATCTTTCACAATAGTATCAGTAGTTTCAGTTTTAGATTCCAGCAGCTTTATGTCAACTTCTTGTGGTGCTTTAGATTTGTGAAGTATTATTGCATGAAGATTTTCAGCACGATATTGTTCAATGGTATTGTATTTGGGAACTTCGTAATTGAAAACGGAAGCCTTTTCATTGTTGATCTCTTCGTCCACAGTTTTTGTAACGATTGGTGATAATTGTTCAACTAAGCTAATTTGAGTAATTGGTTTTGGTTCGATCAGCGGCGTCTTAGAAATCGTTTCGCTTTTTTCAACAGAGTGTTTCTGCTCTATTGTTGTTTCGTCAGAAGTAGATTTGATTATGTTGTATTTTCCCTCAGCAGTATTATATAAACGGATATCATATTTTGGAACTTCAAAGACTTTATTTATTGTTGTGGAAACATTCTCTTCAGGGCTAGTTATGCTTGTTGAACCTGTCTCGGTATTGATTTCAACTAGAGGAGTCGTACTAGGAGAATCATCAGAGCGTTTTGTAATTGATTGTTCCGTGATAGCTTGTTGTTGTTCCTCGGTTGGGGTCGAAGATATTTCCGAAGATTGCTTATAATTGATTATGTGATAATACCTTTCAGCAGTTTTAAATGACGACATATCGTATTTGGGAATTTCATATATATTATCTTTTTCAGTGGGAATTTGTGTGGGTTGTTCAGGGGAGGCAGAAACAAGGGTTTCTGTTACAACAGAGCTTACCTTACTTACAACAGGTAAAGTTTCTTCAGCAATAATTTGCTGCTGATCAGATACCAAAGGTAAAGAAGTTTCTACAGATATGGGCTTAGAGTTGATTATGTGATAATTGCTCTCAGCAATATTGAATTGAGATAAATTGTATTTTGGAATTTCATAAATTTTATCAGCTGGGCAAATAGTTGGAATATTAGTGTTATTTAAAGTGCTTACCGTGTTAACCACAAATGCTTCAGCAGTTAATGCGCTTGGCTTGGCAGGAACAACTTGATTAGCAATATTAGTAGGTTCGGGGAGTAACTGGATTTCACATGGAATATCAACTTGCGTTTCTACTTGAATATCTAAAGGAATTTCTGGCGTTGCTTGCATTCTTTCACGATAAAGTATATCAGCCTTGGCATGCTCAATGGTCTTTGCAATTGAAATCAATGATATATCTTGAGAAAGATTCTGCACTAAGTCTACTAGAACATTGTCGGCTGGAGGAATCGGGGTGAGAGACAGTTTGTCATCTACAATCGGTGATTTAACGGTCTCATTACCTTTACTTTCCTCAACAAGCACCTGAATTGTTTCTTGCTTAATGAACTCTTCAGGGATTGCTGGTCGCTTTTTCTTATCTTTCTTGGATAGTTTCTTTTGAATATCTTCGAATAATTTCTGCTCCTCAGGAGTTAAATCAGACGGGGGCTCATTATTCTTTTCTACAACCTTTGGCTTATCAACCTGTTCTATTGAATCTATCTTTGGAATTTCCTCATCCTTTTGCTGTTTCAGTGAATCTGTAATTGTCACATCAACAGTTCCGACTACTTCTGGCTTCGCTTCTGTGAACTCAACTATAGAAGTTTCGCTACTATCGGCGGTTTTCTGTAGGGACTCTCGATTTTCAGTAACAGTCTCAGTCACGCGAAGACTAACCTCTGGAAAATCTAGATGCATTTTCACGATAGGAGTCTTCAGTTTCTCTTCATGAGTAATGAGAGAAATTTTCTGTACAGTGCCTGGTGGGTAGGCTCCGTCAATGCCTTCTCCAACGAAAAGAACATTTGTGCCATCTTCGGTTTCGAAGCTACGTTGACGGGTTGTTGTAAGTATGGTATTTTTGGTAGTTGTCGTTGTAGTAGTGGCAATGCGCGTTGACTCATTCACAGCCCCGTTCGTCGAAGTATATTCTGTGTTGACAGTCGGTAGCTCAGTTGTCTCGATACCTACAACCTTTACACCAGATTTGCCTGCCGAATCCCTAATGCCCAACTCAATATTGACACCAACATTAGGTAATTTACTTTCAGTGCTAGATGTGACAACTGGAGCTGTTTCCAGCCTTGACGTTACAATGGGACTAGTGGATCTATGATCGGGCATTTCAATACTAGATGTAACTATAACATCGCTAGGTGTGTCACTCTCGGTCAAAACTATGCGTCCGTCATTTGTTATGCGCTTAGTTATACGCATTGTACGAATTGTCGTTGTCTTGATAATAGCCCCATCAATTTGACTAGATGTGGTTGAGGCTTCACTTGGTAATTCCGATATTGTTGGAGAGGCTTCTCGCACAGTGATTGGTTCGCTTATTGTGCTGCTCTCTGTTGTTGTTTCTCCATCTTCGTTTAATTTCTTTACAATTTTCGTCGTACGCACGGTTGTTGTCTTTGTTACACCACCAGCCTCATCATTCATTGGCTCAACAGCAACTGGAGTTGGCTCTTCAGGCGTTTGACTCTCCTGAATTTCGCTAGCACTCTGTTTATCCACGTTTTGAGAAACTTTCTTAACAATTTTTGTAGTTCTGGTAATTGTTGTTTTTACCACATCATTGTTAATATTAGCATCGTAGGGCTCAGCAACGGTTTCACGAGTAATATCAGCAGTTTGTTTGGGTTCTTCTTCAACTGGAGCAACAAGTTCCTGAGTAGCAACCTGGATATCCGCCGCTGGCTTATTCGCAACTTCGTTATTCTTTTTCTGGTTCTTTGATTTGCGCGTCTTCTTTTCGGGTACAGGCTCGGCTGACTGTTTTTCAGAGGCTATGAAATCCAGCGTAGTAGATTTTATATTTCTACTTTCCGGCACCTCTGTACTTGGCGGCGTTGGCAATAGCAGCTCTTCAATTTGTTTCGGCTCGACAACTGCTGGTTCATCTGTGCTCTCAAGAACGGCCTTTGTGGTTCGCGTGGTTATAGTTTTGGTAATACCCTCACTATTCGATTCGGTTATTACAGATTCAGCAACTATTGGAGCATCCTGAATTATGGTTTCAACTGTTTCCAAAGCAGGTTCTGAAGTACTGCTGTGATCGCTAATAGTATCCGAGTCCTGAGTAATTTTCTTTATTATTTTTGTAGTACGCACGATTGTTTTTTTCAAAACCGAACCATCTTCAGTTACACCTGTTGACTGAGCTTCAGGTAAACTTTCCTCTTCGCTTATTGCTTCTGGTACAAGTTCCTTTTCTGGTTCAGCTTTAGCACTTTTAATAGTACGAATAGTTGTCGTTTTGGTTGTCTTAACTACACCCTCGTCGCTGATCTCACGGCTGCTCATTTCAGATTTCTCAATTTTGGGCTCTTCAGCAGCTTCTTCGGCGAATTCGTAGGAATCCAATGAAGTTGCATCCGAATGAATTGATGTGGACATCTCCTGGTTCTCTTGTTGGTTTATCTTTTTCACTATCTTTGTTGTACGAATGACTGTGGTTTTGATTAGACTGCCATCATCGCTGATTGCAGATCCATCCGATGACTGAATTTGTTTCTCGTCGGTTGTAATTGCACTTGTTGTATTCAGGGGCTCTGTGGTTTCTAGTTGTGATTGTGGCTCGGTTATTTCGCCAACGTTTTGTAAAATGGGAGTCTCTGCCTTTGGTTTGACTTCCTCGCTTTCAGATTTCTTTTGCTTCTTCTTGTCCTTTCTGCTTGGCTTTTGTGGTTTCTGTTCAGGTTCGACTTCCGCAATTTTGATGGTTTCTGCGACGATGACAGTATCCTGTTCCTTTTTGTCTTTACGCGGTGGCTTTTGAGGCTCGGGCTCAACTACTTGCTCAACCTTGTCAACAATTTCGTCGACAGCAAGTTGCGCTGCATCGATTATGGCTTCTTGAGATCCTATGGGCTGTTCCTGAGCTGTATCATTCCTAGAAGTTATCACTGTAGTCGGTAACAATGTTATGTCACGCTCCACCTCGGGTTCATCCTCATATACTTCTTCGACGATTTCTTCGCCATCGGCAGTGATGCGCTTGAGTATACGCTTTGTCTTAGTTATTGTCGTTTTTGTAATTGAACCGCCTTGAACAACAGTTGTATCCTGAGTTGAGCTTAGTCCAGGAACGATTATACTGCCGGGTACAGAGTTTGTCGTTTCAACTGAAGGCAAATCGAATTGCTCCACAGATATATTTTCTTCGGGCAGGTCATCAATGACATCTTCTTCTACAATTTCCTCTCTACCATCTATAATACGCTTCACGATGCGCTTGGTAATGTGCTTTGTTATGGTCCTGGTGGTAATTGTAGTCGTGCCACTTTCTGTGGAAATCGTGTTCGTCGAAGTTGTTACCACGGGTTCGCTTTCCAGTAATGTTTCGTTCGTATCGAAACTAGATACCGTTGTAGGCTCAACTGGCTCAACACTTTTTGGTGTTTCCGTTTCATTCTTTTTCACTTGAACAGGTTCCGGTTCAGGGTCAATCAATTTTTCAATGATCTTTTCTGCGGTGGCTTCGATTACGGGTTGAACTTTGATATTTGTAATTTCCACAACTGGTGCTATTTCCGGTTGCTTAATGACCTCCACAATAGGCTCCACGATGCTCTTTGTTACCGTTGTTGTTTCCACAGTTTTCGATTTCTTTTGCTGAACTCTAGGTGGTGCAGAAACTGTGCTAGTCGGTTCCACTACAGCGATTGATTCTGTCGTTTTTATAGCTGCTTCAACAGCAGGAATTGGTTCAGCAGCAGGTACAGCTTTAACAGATTCAATGACTTCAGCAATAGGTTCAACGATTTTCTCTGATGTTTCAGTTTTAGTTGGGATTGGATCTTGTTTTTCAGCAGTTGTAGTAGTTGTAGTTACCACAACAGTTGTCTTTTTCTTCCTATCCTTTTTATTTGGAGTAGAAACAGGCGATGTTGAACCAGAACTGGGTACCACTTCAACTATATTTTCCGCTGGCTTTATAGTTTCTTCAACAGACCCAACTTGTTTTTCAGCAGTCTTAGTGGCTGTTGTTTCCTCAATCGATGTTGTGTTATTTTTATTGCTCTTGGATGTTGGCACAATTGTGGGAGCCACTACAACAATATTTTCAGCTGCCTTTACAATTTCTTGAATCGGCTCAGCTTGTTTCGTGGACACCGCAGAGATCAAAGTTTCCACCACAGTTGTTTTCTTCTCACTCGATTTAGATGATGCAGTGGACTCAATTGGTTTGTTGGCCTCCTTAATAGGCTCAACTTGTTTCTTCGTAACAGTTACAGCCTCTACCTTTTCAGCTTTAGCCTTCTTTTTATCTTTCCTTGATGGAGCAATGACCGCTTCTATTGTTGGTTGTTCGACGACCATTGTTTCCTGCTTGGTAACCTTAACGATTGGCTCTACTGTTTTTGATGTAACCTTTGTTGTTTCGACAACAATCGTTGGCTTCTTTTTGTCCTCGCGGCTGCTATCTCTTGTCTGTTTTGCAGTTTTCTTAGTGATAACTGTCGATTCTACAGTTTGTTTTTCTTCCTGAGGTGGCTCCACAATCTTTTTATCCGAAGACTCTTCTGCTGGATGTTTGCTCTTCTTAGACTTTCTCGGTTTCGGTTCAGGCTTAGGTACCTCTTCGACAAAAACTACCTTTGGCGCGCTCTCAATATGACTGTGCGAAGCGCCATTTGTCTCTGGAGACTTGTGCTTCTTGCTTGCTTTTGGCTCTTTCCTGTTGCTGACTTTAATGGGCAATGGCTCAGGTTGTTGCTCATGTCGTTGCCGTTTGGGCCTCGCCGTCCTTCCTTCAGCATTGTCATCGGACTTCTCTGCCCACCTGCCTTGGTGGCCCTTTGAAGTCGCAGTGCTCGACGTTGTGTACTTTGTGGTTATTGTTGTCGTTGTTGTAGTGTGCTCAGCATTGCGAATTTGCGATATGGGTGCCGCAACACGTACTGGAATTTGTTGCTGTTGACTGGATGGCTGGAAAACTGGATGCGCTGATCTATGCTGTTGGCCAAATAGCACTTCGGCATAGGTGCTGCCAGTACTGGGATCTTGTTGCTGATATACATTCTTGCTGGGCTGCTGCACTTGAGGACGAACGACAACAATATCAGTATCCTTATTTTGTGCTATCACAGTTGGCTGTATCTGTTGCGAGGTAATTGTTTGCTCCACAAATGTCGTTTTGGTTATGTTCTGTTGTGGTTGGGGTTGTGGTTGAGGTTGAGGCTGAGGCACCTCAATTGGTATTGTCTCAATTGCATCGACATCGAACTGACCAAAAGTTATGTCGGGACGTGGTTCATCCATTTCGAACTCTTGCGGCTCGACTGGTCGCAGCATCTGCACATGCTCCTCAATGAATACCGGCTGTGGTGCTGGCACCTCTTCCTGAGCGACTTGTGGCGTGACAACCGTCGACTGAATTAGCTGTGTGCTCGTTGTTAGCGGCTCGCCGATCTGTTGCACCATCGATGCGAGAGTTGTCAGTACGTCGCGTACGCTATTACCTGTTGTGGATGTTGTTGCCTGATTCACTTCCGTACGGTAAGGCTCAAGCAGATAAGATTGATTCACAATGTCCGGCTGATAGACGGGTACCTCCGTACTAATTTCTGTTTGCTGCTGCTGCTGCTGTTGCTGGGCATACTCCTGTGTGTACACCTGCGGCTGTTGGGCGTAATAGATTTGCGAGGGCTCCGTCGTATATACCGTTGGATAGCTCTCGGCTTGCGCAACGGGCTGATAATAGCCCGTCAGCAGCTGGTACTGCGTCGTCGGCGGCCCTGCCACAGGCTGGTATTGTATGGGATATTGCATCTGCATCATTTGATCATAGTAGTTTTGTGGCACTGCCTGCTGCTGTGGCTCGCCGCTTGAGCCAGCCACATAGCTCCACTGACCGCTGTCGGCCACGTTCTCATACATGGTCTGATACAGCTGTAGATCTGGTTGCAAATAGGTGGCGGCTATTTCCTCCGCAGTCATGGGCACTTCATAATTGGATATCTGCTTCTGCTCCACCTGCGGCTGAGCGTAGCCCAAGTCTGAACTGGGCTCACCTATGAACTGCTCCATTTGCTGTTGATGCTGTTCTGGTTTGTTATGTGGCACAAAAATATTTCCCGCTGCACCACTGGCGTCTACGACATCCTGTATGGTCAGATCGGTATGCGGCTGGGCCGTTTGCCTAGCCAACTCCTCGGCCTTTAGACGTTCTAGTTCCATACCACGCAATACTTCTGCATACGATGTCGAACCCGGCACCCAAATGGGGCTACGCGAACGCGCGCGATCCTCTTGAGGCAGATACAGATGTTGGTATTGCTGTTGTTGTTGAGGATGTTGCTGTTGCTGATGCGTTTGTGTGCTATCCACCTGTACAGCAGCGCTTTGTGGTTCGCGTCTGCGCCGCGGTGAACGTGCACGACGTTCAGGACGCGGCGGCTGCAATTTCTTACCCGTATTCATACGCTGCTGACTGCGCTCCATTTCGATAAACTGACTATTCGGATTAGTGCTAATGCTAGGAACTTGTTGATCTACTGTTGATGTGCTGCTAGACGTATCCACTTGCGAGTTGCTGATAGTTGTCTCTTCATAATCGGAGGTAGTATTGTTGCCGCTGCTGGGTGGTGTAACACGCTGTTTGCGCTGGTAGAGCACAGTGGTTATCGGTTCCGAGCTCGTTTCCTCTTCCTCATGCGTACGTACGTTTGAGGTAAATTTAGTTCGTGTGGTTGTTGTTGTTGTCGTTGTTGTGATTGTATTCCGCTGGCTAAGGTTTGTTTGTGAATGTGACTGTTGTTGTAGTTGTTGTTGTTGTTCTTGCTGGTTTTGGCTGGTCGTTATTGTTGTCTGGGTCGTGGTCGTGTCGGGAGTTTCTTGAATTTCTTGTCGGGGGATCGTCGCCGTTTCATTACTGCTTACCGGACTCGCATGTCCTGATAACACTTCAGCATAGGTTAGACCTACTGCCGTTGGCTTCATAAGCAACGAGACAGTCGATGAAGTGGTTACCACTGAATGTGGATCCAGAGCATAGGATTGGGCGGCGGTTGCGTCGTAGCTTTGCTGCATGCCTTCGATTGATTGTCGCATTGCCTATGCGTTCACGTAACGATCGTTATATAGATAGAGTGTGTGTGTTGGGAGAGAGAAAGAGATTGGGGGAAGATTTGCCAAAAACGGTTAGCTTTCATTTGTTTGAAAGATCATGGGCCTAACAGCTACCTAAATCAACTGTCTAAGAATGCGCTCATCTAATTAAATAAATACGCTTTGTGGGGTTTTCTTTTTAAAAATAATATATAATTTAATAAATTAATCTTTTTTTTTTGTAAATTTTCTTAAGCTGTGGGTCATGTAAGTAGTATATATATATATTTATTACGGCTGATCTGACATGTTTAGCTGTTGCCACTGTTGAATTGGGAGATTGTTACAGTGGCAGCTGTAAACATGAGACGCCGCGGTGGCTGCTTGGCTTTTGCTTTGGTTTTCAATTTCATTTCTTTGGCGAACTAGTTCTAGTATATGTATGCAGTATACATCGGTATATAAATATATAGATAGTTATGACTTAATATGTAATGTCTGCCATAGCTGTGCGGCATCTCTAAATCTCTAGCTTAGCATCGTCCGGCGTACCGCGATGTATTAACAATTTGATGCGCTCATTACGTGCGGTTATTTTCGAATGCAAGTTTTTGACACGTTCACGACATGCCTATATAGATTCGTATATATTTATATATATATATATATATATATATGTTTGGGTGTGATATTGGTTATGCGTATGGTGCATTATTTAAGAGAGAGAGAGAGATAAAAAGAAGAGAGAGAGAGAGAAATGTTCGGCGAAGAAGAATTACAATAAGGTCAGCATTTAATCGTAATTTTGATATTTTTGTAGGCATCGAGCATAAATACGCCATAAGAGAAAGCAACCATATACCAGATGTATATTATAAATATATATATTTTTATTGTATTTGTAGAAGTACGCAATTCCCATGTGTTTGTGTGTATGAGTGATTTATGTGTGTGTGTGTGTGTGTGTGTGTGTGTTACATTGAGGATATATAGCAGCAGCATCGAGAGGAGTTTGTTAAGTTAGTCACAAATCATGTTTAGTATTAGCAAATAGCACAAGAGGCAAGCGAGCAAAGCCCAAAAACCCGTTTGGTTATAGATTAAAGCATGTTTCAGATATTAGTAAGAACAATTCAATTAATGTTTAATTAATGTAGTGTTTGGAAATTTAAATTGATTTTTTTCAGCGCAACGACACCAGATTTTTTATTCAATAAGAATGTACCAAGAGAAAAGATAAAAAGAAATACAAATTGTCAAAAAAATAAATATAATTTAAATTAAAACCGTAACCATACTTTTTAACTAAAACTGAGAGCGCTATTACGGTAAAGAGAGAGAGAGAGAGATAGAAATAGCTGTGACTTCGAGCGGCTTTATGTGAAAATGTCTGCCCGGCCATAAAGCTAACTAATTCAATCAAAATAATAATGAAAATGATTTAAATAAATAAAAACTTTCTAAGCTTTAAGCATAATGTGTTCTCCTTAACTGTGACACGAAATGTGATGTGATGTGGTGTGGTGTGATGTGAAGTGATTTAATGTGATGTGATTTGATACGATTTCAAATGTTATGTATGTACTTTCGTATATGTGCCGTCATATTGAATATCAACTGTACTTGGTGATAGGTGAATCGTAAATAAGTTCTCATAGCAAGAGTTGCCCCAAAAAATATTTAGCTACTGTAAAGGTTTTTTAATTTTTTCAAAAATGTTTTCAAAGTTTTTAATAAAATATTTTCAAAATTGATTTTCAAATTGACTTTATAATTTGCCACTTACCGCCAACACTGCAATTCGCAATGTAAACTTAAAACGAAATTTATTTAAAACTAATATAAAATGGGCAAAAAAAAGAAGGCCTGCTCTTTATATATATCTATAGCTATAAATATATATACAAACATTTTTTTTCTTGTGTGAAATAAATTTGTAGACGTTAATCCGACATTGCTTAAAATAGCTGACTGAATAATGGGCTGGAGAAAGAATTTTTAGAATTTCGAAAATATATTTCTATATTATAGCTTTTTTTGGGCTACCCCCGGCTAACAAGAACTTATTTGAATATTTCTTTCCGGCACGTGACAATGAGTCGAAAACGGATTCGAATTTGTTTTACAGACACAACAAATGCTTCGGGTTTCTCGTTTTTGTTTTTGTTTTTGACAAGGCAGACATAACAATGATGGGCATCAAGAGTATGTATATGATATGGTATAAGAGCATGGCATATACTATATGGATACGAGATGTATTCTATGTACTACATGTACGAGGCGCATGAGTTTTTCGATGTTGGATGAGCTGCACGGTTGGTATGACATGATTTTGATTTTGTTGTTCGTTCGCAAATTAAAAGAACATAAGAGAGCACAAAAATGAATAATGTAAGTGTATGTATGTGTGGCTGTGTGTGTGTGCGTGTGTGTATGAGAAATGAATGGCATAAATCGAATTCGAAAATAATAAAAACTTAAGAAAATTTCTGTTCTCTAAGCGAAAGAGAATTATAAATTGAAAATTGAATAAACGAAATGCGCACTTGAAAATTAAAAAGAAAATGAAAATGAAAAAAGGCAAAATTGAAAATAAAAAATAAATAAATTGGATAAAATAACATAGAACTAAATACGCAGCCACCGTGCAACTTTGGTTTTCTATTTCCGGACCTACCCGCACAATATTTAATCTTTTTTTTTTTTTTTTTGGATTATTAAAAATTTATTGAAAGTTGAACTTGATCTATTTGTGGTTACTTGAGGGTTAATAACTTTTGGGCTAACAAACTGGTTGTTCTGTCAACTGTTGCATAGCACAAAACTCAAAATTTAGAATCGTTCAATATATATATAAAAAATAATTAGCATGATATTATGATGGAGAAGGGGTATATACTAATTCGAAAAACTTCGGGACATATTCGTATTCAGCTTAGCTTAACAGTTGCTGTTATTTACGAGAGCTACCATATGATATATATAGATAGATATCGGGGAGTTCTTCCTAGACTGAGATATAATCTCCTGGCTTTGGCTAGCTTCTTTTTATATGCTAACTGCACTAAACAATAGCTGATTGGGCTCTACACATAAGAAAAGAGTTTCAGATGCTTTCAGGGAGTACGTACCTGTTGCTCGGCTAATGCGCGCTCACGATCGTGCGGCAAGTACGTGGGCGCCATAACCAGACGCAGCTGCTGCTCCTCCTGTATAATACGCTGGCGGAGCGTTTGCATTTGCTGTTGATAGACATCGATTTGGGCCAGCGTCTGCTCGAGACTCTGTGACTTGGCCTTCACCAGTTCACCGAGGCCATCGAGCACGCGCACCAAATCGTCAACATTTTCGCTCAGGCGCGGATCACCGCCCATGCCGTTGCGGAAGTGCACCTGAAAGCCAAAAAGAAGGCGGTGGGGCATGGAAATGCATTCCATATTAGCTATGCCAGCTTCAGCCACTTACCTCCAGCTTTTCAATAGACAATCTCAGTTTGGTCTTTTGCACATTTATGTCGGCCAGAGTCTTTTCACAGTAGCCCAGCTGATCGCGCAGCGGCTTCTTTTGCTGTGGCGAGGAGTCTAAGGTCTGTTTGGTCTTCTCGTGCCAGGCACGGATATCCTTGATCTTGCGCTCACATTGATCCCACTCTTCGCAGGCCTCCTGCAGCAGCGAGTTCTGTTAGGGATGACAGGAGAGAAGAGAAACGAGAAATCAAATAGGTTCAAGATTTAACTTCAACTTTCGCCCGCTTTACCCTCTCCAGCAGCACTGCTTCCACGGCTATCTTCGCATCCTCGGCCTGCTGCAGTTTGTCCTTGAGATCGCCCACGGTCGTCACTTGACCAATGTGCTCCAGTTCCTTATCCATTTCGCTCAAATGCTTTACAATCGGTTTAATACTCTTCACAGCCGTCACATAGTCGTTCAGCTTGGATCGCGCCTCGGGCAGCGTGCGCAGCTCAATGGTCTGATCGATGAACGTACGCTTGTCCGCTACCCAGGACATGACAATCTGGTACAGATTCATGAAACGTGTCCAAGCATCCAGACTATCGCCCACAGCCTGCTTCTTCTCGTCCAGCCAGCCGCGCACTTGGGCCAGCTGTGCGGCCAGCTGATCAATGGTCGACTGCACCAGCGTCTTCTCCTCGCTGTTGCGACAATTCTCAATGATCAGCTGGCCGTTGGTCTTGACCAGCGTGAAGCGTTCGTAGATGGCACCGATTTCGTGGTTGATGCGCTGCAGCAGCTCCTTCATTTGTGTCGGCTCCAGGGTGCGCTCCTGCACCTGCACCTCGGCCTGCAGCAGCCAGCGCTGAATCTCATCGACACCGGCCAAATAGTCCGTGCGCACGGTCTTGGCGCGCTTGAAATCCTTCTCTTTGGTTTCCATAGTAACCTGCACGCGTTCTGCTAGCAGCTCAAGTGCGGTAAACTCCTGGGCAATATCACTGGGCAATTGATTCTGTTTGGTCTGATAGAGCGCTTGGGTTTGCGCGACAAGCGCGCGACTCTCCTCGCCGGCCTGCTGCACCTGGCTATTGAGTTTGATGAGGGCCTGTTCCGTTTGGGCAATGTGCTTGTCGTAGACGTGTACGGCCTGAAGCTGTTCGTGTAGTGCGTTCAATTTGTCCTGCAGCTGTGAGATGCGGCGGAACACTTGCTCGATCTCCTCGAGATCCCTGCTAACCTGTTGGTCCTTCTCGCGTAGCGTGTCGTTCAATCTGCAATGAATTCAAAGAGAGCAGAGCAGAAAACGTTTGCCCGGGGCGTATTAGTGAATGACGTATCTGAAATATAGCTGCCTATAATATAGAATATAATATGTAAACAGTTTGCAAGTGTGTCTGTGTGCGTGTGAAAACCACGCGGTTCTGTCTTTTCCCCTAGAATAGAACCTCAATAGAACTACGCGTGCTGCACACACAATAGATATAGATATATATATATACGAATATATATTGAATATATATATATATATATATATTTGATATATTATAGAAAAGTTCTTTTTTTTTTTTGCTGATGGCTGAAGTTGTTCGCTTTATGTGTATCCACTATGGGGTCTGAGAGCTGTTGGCCTCGAGGCGTTTGCGAAGATTTCCGTGGAAATGAATGCTGCCGTTTGACTACAAGAGAGTTTCCTAAATGAATGGCGATGTCGAAAATTTTGACTAGACACGGCATGCGAGTATTACGAATTCAACAATTGAATTCGAATTCGAAATTCGAAATTTATTTTTTGTATATTCGGCAAATGCCTTGAACTGCTTTTCCTTTAAAGCGAGAGCGGGAGCGTGTCTACGCGCTGTCTCTCACGAATTTTCGAAAAATCTTTATTTTGTTTAAACATTTCGTGTGTGAGTCTTTTAAATTTGTTATTATTATTATTATTATTTATGCTGTACGCGGCGTGGCGCGGCCTGTTTAACGGCTGCGTTTATTTTTATGCAGACATTTATATTTTTAAACACGTATTTATGTTATATTTATATTTATTTATTCGCAGTCCAAGCGAAACTTGGTCAAATCAAATCAGAATGCAGCTGACGTCATCTGGCAATGCTGCACGCGAAATGACTCAGAGAGAGAGATGCTCGAGAGCAGATCTCTCTATTTGCTTTTTGCTTTATAATTTATTTTGTTGTTGCTTTATTTTCTTTTATTCCAGAAACTTAATGTTCATGTTACTCATACGCCATGTGGGCGCTAAATGAAGCCAACAAGTGTTTTGTGCCGCTGCCTCAGCCAAGTGTAGCAGCACTTGAAGGCAGCAATTAAAACAAATGTAGTAAAGTCGTGAGTGCACGAAAATATATTTATGGCTAAGCATTGAAGGACGCTGTGTCGCCTGCTGCCCTTTACAGCAGCAACAGCAACAATTGAAACGGAAGAGCAATGCGCCTTGAGGAGGCCAAGTCAATACATTTTGGCCAGCAGCCAATTGAGGCTGAAAGAACACATTCATTTTCGAAAACAGTTTTTAGCGCATTAGTTGTAAGAGAAAAGCAAAAAAAGAGAGTATTATGATGAGCACAACTAGTAGATACCCAGTGAAAGAAAGTGTGACTAAAGCAAGAGCAAAATTATTTCGAAATAAAACAAGGAAGCTAATTAGTCATATCATGAGACATTTGAAAAACTAGACAATTTGTAATATATATAGCTTAAAAAGCTTTCGAAATTGTTTACTAAAGTGTCATAGATAAAAGAATTTTTTTATATAAATACAAAAATTATGAAAAATAAATAAACTTTAACAAGCACTCGAATACTCAAGGTTTTAGAGAGAGACTAATCGTTACAGTTTTTATGTGATGTTTTTTTAAACTATGATCATTTGAACAATAATCAGAGTTGGTTATGCCTAATATATATTTTAATGATTTTTAAAACATATAAATATATTTAAGCATATAAATATTTTTTAAAAATTAGACTTCTTCTATCCGTTCAAATTCAAATTCTCATTTAGAATTAGAAACAGTAAACAACAACAGCTGCTGATACAGATTGAGAAATAATAATTTCCTTACTCAACTAATTTAATTTAAGCTAATTGCCTCACAAATTTTCAATAAATCCAGAAACCTGAAAAATGATTCTGGCATAAACAAAAACAGATTTTAGCATAGTTTTTTTTGCCAACAACAGGGTATAAGAAACATGCAAATAAATTGAGTCTTAAATAACACAATAAAAATTCTTGCAGATTAATTTTTGTTTTTGTTTTCTTTTTGCTTTTAGCTTCTTTTGCTTTGTCTTCTTTTTTTGCAGCTATTTTGAGCAACAATTTGCCATTTGCCTACTCTACAAATTAATGTATTAAATTTAGTGGATATATTGAATTGAAATGGCAAAGAATGTTCGCAATGCGAGCGAAACTAAGTGAAAAGCGAAAGCCACTGAGAGAGGCGTGTGTATACAAAAATATATGTATATGTATGTTTTTCAACAGACGAAAATAAAACATTGAAATCGCGGCGCTTAGTTTGATCAATTATTGTAATTAAATGTCTGTCGATAAGCACTGTGAGTGAGCGTTAGCTATTTTAGATGCGACGACAACAACGACGACGACGTCATCATCGATTTAAATCAGAGACACGCGTCGCTAAGCAAAGCACTTCTCTCAATACAAACAAAAATAAGAACAGCAACAGCAACAACAACACCTGACGACCTCGCTAAAAGACCGGACCCGTCCGTGCGCCGAACCCAACGGCAAACAGCGAACAACCAACAGCCGGCTAGAAAAAAAATTGAGGCTGCTTTTTGCATACACCGAACCGAGCGACTCCGACTTTTTAACCGGCCTCGATGACTTAATCATGCCACACGGCGCGGCAGGCAGTGTGAAGCTAAGTTAAGCTAACTTGCGTTTAATAAACATTCACCTTTTGCTTTTGACGACGTCGTTTTGGAGAGTGCGTGTTAGCAATTAGCATTCGGCTCTTTATCTTTCTCTTTGCCCTTGCTGCTGTCTTTTATTTGACTTTTCTATTTTACTTCTTTGGCCAGTTGTTTAGCGACAACAATCGCACCTCCTGACTGGGGAGGCAGACGTGTGCTCAACAATGGTTAACTGCTTCTTATTCCTCAACTTGTTTGTTATTTTTAATTCGTTTGTTTCTTTTGCTTGAAACTTGAATTTCTTGCGAAATTCAGCAGCTATAAGACTCGACTCTCTTCAAATTGCGTATACGCCTGGTAATCCACAAAGCGGCGTTTTAGCAAGTGCCAGTGCATGAAACGAAAAAAATTATTATGTATAGCATTTCAAATAGCTGAACTGTGCGCCTTAACGGTGCTTTCGAGACCGCTGCACAGTTATGCGAATTAAATACTTTACTGGTTTCTCTTTGGGCTGTCGCTTCTTCGTCTTTGTTTGTGCGTTTGCTGCTTCTATTTCTACTGCTTCCTAATTAAATTGTATTTTATTTGATTTAAAAATATGCGTCTATATATATGTATAGCTGTGATATATATACATATATTTCTTTATTATGCTCGTGCGGTCGCTTCTTCGTATTTAATTTCCAGCCATCCAGCTATAGCGAAAACACGTCCGCTTGCAACTAACTCTAAATAAAAACTAAAATCATTCTCAGCGCACAAAAATTGCCAAAAACTTTCAGCGACGCGACGTCGACGTCGCTGTCGGCGCTCGTGCGAGCGATCAGCGTTAACAGCGGCAATGCGAGACGGAAATAAAAGAACAAAAACTGTTGCTACTGCTGCTAACTCACCACAGTCTCGCACTCGCACTCACACTCACACACACACTCACACACACATATGCAAACAGGCGCACGTATTGAGTAAGAGATTGAAGGGGAAAGAGAGCGACAGCAACAACACTTAACAATTTGTATATTAAATATGCGCTTGGCATTGAAACTGCGGCGTACGGCAAAAGTTTACCTCACTCATTAGCAAACCAAAAATTCGCCGCTGATTTCAGTTGCCAAATATGCCGCACGCAGCCTTAATGCAAAAATCCCCCCAAAATAAAACAAAACATAAATGCAATGGACGTGTCATACATATTTACCTAAATATACATACATATGTATGTATGCATATAATATATATATTGCATGTTTAGCGCCCGAAATGATAAGGCAATAACAAATCATTTTTGCCGGTTTCGATAAGCAGCAACAAAAAAAGTGCCGGCTTCTCAAAGAATCGAGAGCCAACAAACGACGGCGAAACGAAATGGCATTGGAGCAGCACACAGCTAGCAGCAGCGCGTGAGTTAACAGCGCACTGTTAAAAAATAAAAAGTCGACAACAAAAGCAAAACTAAATTTATAATTACGCGATTACCTCATTTGGGCAACGTTTTCGCTTTATTGTATTCTCTCTTGCTCTCGCTCTCCCTCTCTTACTCTCCGACTTACCGTTTTGTGCGAAGTGACAAATCGGCAATGCAAATGCCTGTCGTGTTTTGTTATTGTATTTAGATTTTATTTATTATATTTTAATGCAACGTGAAATAATCTATTTTTACTTTATTTAAATTTTTAATAACTATTTTTTTTTAATTTGTATACGTTTCTGTTGTTTATTATTCTTTAGCAACGATGAAGTCAGCCATACGATTTCAGTCTTCTTTACATTTAATTTTTTTTGTCTTCTTTTTATTTTATTTTTTATATTATTTGGCAGCTGTTTTTTATTTTTTCATGCTCTAGAGCAAAGTATTTTATAAACAAAAATTGTAGGTTGTCAATAATTAAGAAACAATGCATTTATTTGAAGTGAATCATTATACAGTGAGTGTCAAAGTAAATGGTACGTATAGGAGAATTGTATTTCCTTGATATTAAGTCGAAAGATGTAAATTATCAGTTATTCACAAGATATACTAATTCTTTTTTTTTTTTTTTTCAAGTGAACAAAAAAAGAACAGATTCTCTTCATTGAAATACTAGTTGAAGACAGCTCTATAAGATATTCTAAAGCCTTAAGAAATTGATAACACAACAAAAATCTTAGCGCATTCTCGCATATATACATTTTCTTATGTCCAAAAGATAAACAGCTCAAAATTGATTTAAAAATCCAGAAATAATTATAAACAAATATTCAATAATCTTGCCTGGAAATACACAAAAATACTTTTTAAGTACTGAAGGATTACGCAACTTTTTCAGAGTTAAATATATATATTTTTTTGCTTTTTGCAAGTTGATTAGACTTTTGCATGCTCGCCAGTCGAAAAGTAAATCTCAAGTACAAATGCAATGGAATTTGCGTCGCAGTTAAGGAATATAGATATAATATAGATACATATATACATAGTTGAGTATAATTGTCGATGAGCGAACTTTCGGGTATTAGATCATTGTTTGTTGGGCATCGATGATGATGATGGCATTGTCAATTTGTTTGTGGCACACAATATTCATGGCGAAGTGAGAAATTATTTAAATTCTAATCAGAGCTGCAGAAGAATTATTCATAGAGATATAGAGAGTGCGAGCTAGAGATTGAATATGGAATATGGCAAAACGTGAGAAAAAGTTAAACGTTTACAACAGACTTCAGCACTTCCCTCGTCATAAGTAATGGAGGTTCGCTCAAAATATGATATGCCAGACCTGTTTAATTGTTTACTTTATAGCTAATTTTAGATGTAATTATTTAAATGTGCGGAGCTGAGTAAATATTTTAACTAAATGACTATAAAAGATCAAGTCAACATGACTTAAGTTGTTTAAAAATGTAAGCATGGGGATTTCTATAATAAATCAACCATAAAATAACTCGCTTTACGTGGAGTTAATAAATTTTTCAATTATTTTTATACAGATTGAATCATATGAAATTATCCCTGTTAGAGTATTCAAATAATTACATTGTACAATTGATTAACAGCTGTTTGCTAACAGTTATTAAAGTTAATGCTAGAATTACAGCTGCCAAAATCAATGAGTTACAGCTGTTGACTAACAGACACATTTAACTTAACTGTTAATGCGCATGTTAATTGGAGCGCCTTACAGCTGTCAAGCAAATGTAACTTAATGGACAAGTGTCGACAAGAGGGCCTCAAGTGTTTTCACAATTATTAGAGTGATCTAAAAGCCTATCACAATCAAGAAAATGTTTTATCGAAAACATTTAACAGCTCGCTAGCGCGCAATTAGCAGGCCACACACAGTAAATATTATCTGCCATCTACTTCCATATGGCATACGTCACAGAAAACCTATTATTGTTATTCGGTAAGACATTTGGTTAAGCGCATGGGGAAATTAAGAAAGGAAATTAGCAGCTGCTGCTCTCGTTTTTCATGAAAGCCAACGGCAGCCGGATGAAAGAAGAATGTGTATAAAAATAAAATAAGAAAAAATTCGGAAAAAAATACGTTGAAAATATATACTTCTTGTAGATAAACATACACATGTCTTGGGTGAAAATTTGTGTCAGTGCTGCATTAAGAAAGGCCGCGGCATGTTTTCTGATTTTTTTTTTTTTTTATTTCTTTTCAGATTTTCTTATTTTTATCACTATTTTCTTTGAATACATTTTTTCCGTTTTATTTTTTGTTTTTCTCGACAAGCAAAATGTTTACGTGATCAACGGCCAGACTCACACACACATAGCGCTGTTAACGTCGAATCGTGGTGAATTTCACTGCTGTTAATAAGCTGTTAGCAGGCCAGATGTTGTTGTCAGCAGCATGTTGCCAATATGCCTGTGTTTGTATGTGTGAGTGTGGCAAAAGCAATTGACAAATTGGCAACGTTTTTTATACTTTTTTTTTTTTCATTTTGTGTCAAGCGCCATTAAAAAGAATTTCCGCAAAAATAAACGAACGAGTTTTTTTGTTTTCGCTCCGAATCTTATCAACAAAAGGCGAATACTATATAATATATAGAACATTTGTTACGGTTCCATTAACAGTGCTAACAAGCTCCCTTCTAAGTGGACGTTCAAATCTCTGAATCATATAGCGTATATTGTGAACTACTTGAACGAATCTTTTATAATTATGATTATAAAATTTATAGCGTCAACGCTTTGTCTATTATCGTAACTGTCTTAGATAAGACGTTAAAACTTTGGCACAGTTAACCGTTATCAGCCATCAGCGGGCATGCCCCGTCAGTTGATATGGCCCATTAATGAATGGATGGGTAAACAGACTTTTGACCAGGCACTGTGCAATGTGCAGGGCGAATGTATTTTCTTTTTTCAAAATTTAATGATCTAGAATTCTCAGGAACTTGACTTTTATGCTGCCATAGAAAACTTGGCTTATGTAAGTACCTCGTCTCAAGCTACATACCGAGCGTAACCAAAGCCATGACGTCAGGGAGAGAGCTTGAGCTATTTAGAGAGAGAGAGAGAGAGAGAGGGAGAGCGAGAACGAGAACGAGCCAGCGATTGTTTGGCATGAAATTTCGAGGGCTTTGCGGCTCAGCGAGCCGAAAACAAAAACTAAAAACAACTGAAAACTGATGTCACACACTGCCACAAGCCAAAAGTTGTTCATATTGCTCTTCTTAAATACATGCACCTATATATACCTCTCTCTCTAACCATACTTGTCTCCGGAACCCGTTTAAATGGTGTGATATAGTATGAAAATAACTAGTTAATTTAGTCACAACTAATTAACATTAAATACAAATCAATTATAGAACGAAATATTTTTATGCATCGAATTCGATTTTGAATTCCATTCCGGAAATCGAATGGAAATTGTACAAGCGACACGGTAATTAATTAATATTTAAATAGTGTACCTATAGATTGTATAGTGTATATAAAATACTATTTATATGTACAGCAATAGTTCAAATTGAGTTCTTCACATTAGAGCGTTTCTTACACAATTAGAGATCAATCACGAGATATTCTAGAGTTGAACTTAAACCAAATCATGATATAATCTTTAACCCTTGCAACTGTTTATCAAATTCGTTAAATAAAAGTTGTTATCAATTTCGGGTACTCACTTTGCTTGCTGTTCAACTAACTTATCCACTTTGGCCTGTATGGCCTCCGCCGAGGGTTTGTGTACTTCCCCAAGGAATGTGAGGATGGATTTTGAGAGCGTTTCGATTTCTTTATGTGATGATTTAAGTTCATTTGATTCTTCACGCAGTTCCTAAACAGCCAAACAAAAATAATATAAATTTCAATTAGTAGAGCAAACACAGCAGAAAACTCAACAATTTTTTATTTTATTTATGTTTTTGTTTCTGTTTTCTTTAATGATTCGTTCAATCAAACGCAAACAAAACCAATAAAACACGCTACGTTTTAATTCAATTCCAGTTTTAAGCTCAAAAAAGCGAAGGTTAATACCATAAAAAAATAAAAGAAACGTTGTCTTGACTTTAAAACAGAAAATATTTGCGGTAAGCTCGAATGAAAAAAAAAAAATTAAAAGAAAACAAAAAATAAAAGTCCATAAAGAGAAAAACAAAAAATTTGTTTCTTGGAATTGTTCAACTGGGTAACAGAACTATCTTTTTTTATTGACTATTTATAGTATATAACGAGATCTATATATGACAACATCGTTAATGAGTTGTATTGAATGGCAGCTTGAGAGTTTCACGACTGACAGTGCTATAAATTTCTACGTAACTTAAAGTTGCTAATTGAATTGTGTTCTCAGAGAATTTTAATATTTTTAACATGCAACATTTTATATTATTTGAGAATAAAGAAGTAAATAAATAAATAATAAAACAATACATTTTTCTCTTTAAAATTTTAAAGTTGTGCGAATAAAATTCAGTTAATTTTAAGCTGTCTGCATTTTCAGATGAAAGTTCTCTTATCTAAAATATAACCCTATAAATATGACAAATTAAAACATTTTTCCTCAAATCTTACGCTTTAAATAAACTTAAGCTATTTTTAGCCTTTAAAAAATGATAAGTTAGTCTCTACTGATTTTTTTTTTTTTTCACTCTAATCACAAGCAACACAATGTATAAAAGCAAAAATAATAATCTGTAGCCATGAAGTCATGCAAAGAAAAGCAAAAAAAAAAAAAAAAACTCAGTTTGTTGATAGTAAAAACAAAACCAAAAGCAAAACAGTCTGCTATTGTTTCAGTTGTATAATGGGCCAATAGAAAAAATGTTTAGCTAGAAGCTGTGATTAGCAACAAACGGACAAAAACACGTCAAAAGAAACTGAAAGTTACAAATTAGACTTTTGTTTTTAGCTTTTTACATAGTCAATCATTAACAGTTCGGACGGTATCGAAGAGAAGCGAGTAGCCCGAGTGAGAGCCAAAGCCCTGCTTTTATTTAGTAAGAGAGCGCAAGCTCTCTGTGTAGTTAGGTTGCATGTGACCATGAACTTGGGCAGCAATATACGTCTGTGTGTGTGTGTAAACGTGTATATACGAGGAAAATAGTGTGCGTGTGTATATAATGTCTGACATTAGCAAAACATTTGCGGCATGCCCATAGCCGTTAGAGGAGGGGCACAACAAATGAATGAATGAATATATATACATATACACACACACGCAAGTGTATATATGTATATGTGTGCATATACGGATGCGCACGTAGTAGCTATAATAAATCAATTAAGCTTGTGAGCTCATACGTTAACCGTATGTGTGCGTGTGTGTATGCATGTGCGTGCACTTGAGAGTGACTTCTGTAAAGGTAAACGTTAATCTCACCTGAATGGCATTCTTTGTATCTTCCAAATGACGTCGCGACCTTACAGTTGGGTCGACATTGCGGAACTTATCCTCCAAGCGACCTAATGCCTTCTCCCAGCCGTGCAGACCGTTCTCGAAGCTATCCCAGTGCTCGGCCAACTGTTGCAGCTTATCCCTTCTCTGCTCCAGGCTATGCACCAGGTCCTGCCAATCACGATTTAGCGCTGAGTTCGCCTGCTCAATCAACTGGCGATTGCGGGCGTCCGCTTGGCGTATAAGAGATTGCGCTTGCTGATTCACCAGCGAGAGGTCACTGTTTTGGCTCTGTAACGACGTTGACGACAACAACAACAGCGACAACAATAATAATCATAACAACCATGTAACAGTAATATTGCAATACTAATTAATAACAGCTATAATCAAGAATAGCTTTGGCTTTTAAAATAGAGAGATACAGTTCGAAATTTTTGATCACAATTTTGATTATCGACACGGTTCGATTGATTGGAATTGCACAATGATAAGTGATTTATTATTAGAAATGGTTTGGGTATATAAGTAATATATATATATATGTATATATATATATATATATATTATATACATATATATATGTATATTTATATATGCAAGTATAAAGCTACCTAAGTACTGTATGTGTGTGTGTATGTTATTCCTTCCACATTTCCTACAAATTTATTTCCCATTTAAATATTTTGAGTTATAACTGTAGCGCCGCCTATAATTCAACGTTAATTTCATTTGTTTCTCCTTTGGCATTTCATCACCTATACTTTTACATATACATATGTATGTGTGTATGCGTGTGGATGTATATGTGCATGTGGCACAACCTTTTTCTTAGTTCGCTATTTCACAATATGGAAAGTTAAGTACTGTCTTAATTTCTCACCTAGACACACGCGTTTGTATCTACAGCAGCACTTTAATTGTATATTTCTTTATGTATAAATGTATATACATATATATTTAGTGTATTTCTTTTTGTTGATGACGTTAGCTTTAAATTTGTCTGGTTTTTTTCTCTCTCTGTCGCACTGTCTCTCTTTCAATTTGCGCTTTTCAAGCACATGGCATATTTTATTAGAACGTTCAAATATAACAGAGCTGCGCACAAAAATATCATAACACTATTTCTTCTTTGTTTTTGTATTTTGCTTTTGATTTTTATTGCTTTTGCTTTGTCGCCGTTTCTTCACTTTGTAAGCCGCATAAAAAATGTAGACAACCGCACAGTTAAACGTCTCAACTAGAAGTGAATTTCGAATAAAATATATACGGCATGTGCCCAAGCACGAGTTAGAACCAATTTAAGAGAACTGGCGTGAAACTTGCCCCAAGAGCGCCGCTTAGTGGGATACAAAGAGAGCGAATTGCGACTGTGCGGTTTATCGCAAGAAGAAGAACATGAAATGAACACGTTTACATGTGCACATACAGTTGAGCTGCCAACGGGCTTGGGCCAGCGGGCAAGTGGGCAGCGGAACAGTGTGAGAGAGACGTGTGGGCAGTTTCAAGCAATAATTTACTCTTGACTGCGTCACACTTGCTCACCAATACACAGTACGCGCCATCCATACACTATCGCTATTGGCTTTACTATAAGCCGGCATGCCAACAACAACAAAACAGCTGTCCACTGAGAGCGCTGAGAGATGAAGAGTGCTCGCTCTTAAAGCTCGCTCAGTGCTTGGCACAAAAACAAAAATAGCTGTTGTTAAACATGTGTTTGTTGATGCCCAACAACGTGGTTCTCAAAAGGGCTGGGCAGAAAGCATATTGAAATAAAAGAAATTTAAGCTTTAAATGTTCATAGAAATTATTTTTAAAGTTTTTTTTTAAATTAATCAACTAAACTGCTAGAATATATATGTAAATCATAAACATAAATAAATATATACTCAAATTTATTATTTCAATTGCGCAGCCCTCACGACAAAACTGGTTTATTCCCTCTTTGAATTTGCTGATGATGTCATTAGCTACACTCAAACAGCTGGCCTTAGACATACATACACATACATATGTATTTATGTTGAAATTTTGTGTCTGAGCAGCAGACTAGATGTTTGGCAGTCGTTGATAAGCTTAACAAGTGCAGGTTAAAAGATTAACTCATTAATAAGTTCTCAAGGAAACATAACGAAAGTAAACAACTATTTAAAATGTGAGCTCATATAAGAGAGCGAAATGCGAAGAGAGCTTTAGCGCAGAGAGCGGAAAGTGTGTGTCAGTTGAAGTTTATTGGTTTTGCCGGCCGGCAAATCATATGCGGAGTCCGCAGTGCGGAGCCAAAACAGCTTGCACTCAGCATGAAAGTCATTTGCCGATACATTCTCTTACATACGTTGCAGATACAAATTCTTGTTTTGCAGTTTCATGAACGATGTTTCGTTGTGTCACACTTAAAACAGGTCTGAGCCGGCCATGTATGTATATGCATATAAATGAGTGCATAAACACAATAAAAGGTTTTTAAGAGACTTAACATAATCCAATTGGCTGTCAAGGCTTTCTGATTCATTTGATTTGGGATTACATATGGATGTTAAGTCATACAAACAAACGACATTTGCCCTAATCAAAAATTTCGAACGAATTCTCTTATGTAAGCAAAATTATAAATATAAAAGTTTATATAATTAATGCATTATAGAAACAGATTTAATATTCCGTAAAATTTAGTGATTTTCCAAGTTTTGCAGAGAAGTTATTCAACTACATATACTCAAATTTTTTATGTAAATCGTTTAAAGCTCTAATCAGCTCTTCAAATAATTATTACTTGTGCGAAGTTCTATAAGTCTATTTGATTAGCTCACCTGTACATTTCCAATGGCATGCGACAGCTTCTGAATATTGAAGTGCAATCCGGCCAAATTCTGGACGGGCTCATCGATAAATTTAGTGCGCTCAATGGTGGCCTTGACGCGATCGATGGACTGTTGATATTCACGCCAGCGTTCCGCCTCTCTCTCCAGCTCGCTTTGCTGGGTCTTGGCATTGGCCAAGATATTAGCCAGTTTGGTTTGGAACTGTGAGAGCTCGGCCGACAGCTCGGATTGCTCATAGTTGTTGAGTGAGGACCAAATCTTGTCGGATGCTTCCTGGATCTGCTTGTGCACCAGATTGCGTATGGGCGCCTCGTTGCCAAAGAAGATCTTGTGCTCTTCCAGATCGTTCACAAGGTGCTCGTAGTCGATGCCATGCTGGCTGTTCTGCAAACGCAGCTCGGCCTCGTGCACCCAATCGTTGAACTTGGCCACCAGCTGCATATACTCCAGACGCGAGTCACGATTGTTCTTCAAATACTTTTCGCGCTCCTCCAGCTCATGCGGCAGCGAGACGACCAGAGAGCGACCCTCGGAGAGCATTTCCAGCAGAGAGCTGGGCATGCCCACGTCTGTTTTGACGCTGTCGTTGATTTTGTTGAACTTCTGCAATTGGGATTCGATTTCCTTGCTGAGTGTATGATGCTTCTGCAGTTCACGTTCCACCGACTCGGGATCACGATCGAGCAGGGGTCGCGACTTGGCCACGCCTTCGTTGTTGTGCAGCCAGTCCAGTATTTCGCTCAGCTCGGCAGCCATCTTTTTGTGGGACTCGAGCTGGAGCTGATGCTTCTGGCGCTGCGATTCGACAGCCTTGCGCAGATTCTGCAATTGATTCTTCAAGGATTGCAGCTGCTCCGTGATGCTGTTCTTGTCGGCAGCATTGCCCTCGGAGGCGATCTTCTGACCCTTATCGTTCGCTGAGGCCAACAGACCCTCGCACTCCTGTATCTTGACAATGACATTGTCGTATTTGTTGATCTTGTCCTCGAGGCTGTCCGGTGAGTTCTCGATGTCGATGATCACATCCGTGTACTTCATAATGAAGGCAATGATCTCGTTGATTAGCGCAATGAATTGCTCACGCAGCATCAACAGCTGACGCAGATGCGCCAACTGATCCTCAATCAACTTAATCATATCGTCCTGCTGCGCCAGGATGCTCTGCAGCTCGGGCAGATCGTCCATTTGCATGTCGCCCATTTTGTGCTTGCTGTCCTTCAGCTCCTTCAGTATGCCCTCGTAGGCACCCAGCAGATCCTGCACATCCTCAATTCGGGAGCCAATGGGCCGATTCAGCTCCCTCATGCGCTGCTGTATGCTGCTCAGGAATTCGCTGCAATCGGCCAAGCGATTCTTGGCATCCTTGTACTTCTTGATGTGATCGCCCAGCGTATTGGCGCGATCATCGATTGTCTGCTTGATGCGGCCATAGCGATCCTTCATGTTCTTGATGTCGTCGTTGAGCTTCAGCTTGTCCGCATTGCTCAGCGTGGGCAATATGCTCTTGCCCTGCTCGGACACATCGTTGATCACGCCGCCCATGTTCTCGGCATTCTGCAGGAGTTTCTTGTAGTGGGCCAACTGCTCCTCGAGCACTGGCAGACTGGTGGTGCGCAGTTCACTTTCGGTTGCGGTCTCCATTTCATTCAACCAGTCGCCCATCTTCTTCATCGAGTCCTCAAAGGCTTTGCGTCCCTGCAACAGATCGTCCAGGGACTTGCCGCGCTTGCCGCTCTCATCCTTCAGCGTCTGATAGTCAGCGGCAATTTCATCCAGGATTTGCTGTAGCGCTGCCTTGTCCGCATCCCCGCAATCCTTCATAATGTTGGCAGCTTGACGCTGGACGTCAGTGAGAACGCTGTCATTGAATTGCTTGGCATCATCGTCGTACTTCTTGTTCTCCTGGATCTTCTTCTCGATCTCAGCGGAGGTCAGCGGATGATAGACGGGCAGCTTGCGAACCTCTGAGATTTTGGCCTTCAGCCATTGACGCGCCTTATCCAGATCGTTCTCGAGCGCCTTACGCGCTTTGCTCGCCTCCAGCGCACGATCCAACTCGGCCTTCAGAACGCCAGCCAAATTGCGATTTTCGCTATTCAGATTACGCAACGCGGACTCCAGCTGGGCATATTCCGCCGACTCCAGCTCGGGCTGCATGTTGGCAATGCGCTTCTCGAGCACATCGGCCAGCGATTGCTTGGCCTCGGCATCCTTCATCAAGCTCTTGATCTTCTGCTGGCGCGCCTCCGCGTCCTTGGGCGAGAAGCCCAGAGCAGCTGGCGCCTGCAGCTCTTCGATTTGCTGCTTCACCCATTGCTGCAGCTGATCGATTTCACCCTTGGCGCCATCAACGCCCTTGTTGGTCACATCCAGCAGCTGGGCCTTACGATCGATGCGCTTGCCCAGATCGGCAAAACGACGATCCAACGACTTCATTTGCTCCTCCACCTGCTGACCATCCAGATTGCTAATGACCTCAGCCACCTGGGCGGCCTTGCCCTTCAGCTCTTGTATCTTCGGATGTCCCTGCAGCTCGTATTCGTTCTTAATCTCATTGATGGCGGCCATTTTCTGGGCACAGTTCAGACCAGAGCCGCGATCCAGCACATCCATGCGCTTGATCAGCGTATCGAACCAATTCTGCACATCCTGCATGCCCTGGCGATAGCCATCGATGACATTTTGGCCCGCCTGCTTCTTGGCTATGGCATCCATCAGTTCCGATTCCAGCTTGTCAATGTTATCATCCAGATCGGTGTCCTCATCGCCCACTGTTGGGATGAAGCAAGAAAATTAGTGCAAAATACTATATACTAAATAACATTAATTTAACATTATCTGTTGTCCCTTCATGTTAGGGTGCGTTTTCCTGAGCTAGACTAAACATTTTTGGAATGTTCTTTAGCAACTTACATGATCCTGTCATTTCGAGCATCAGCTGGGACCGCTTGTCCCCAATAGAGTTCAATAGATCATTCATGGTAACGAGCTCCTGTTGTGCAGCCTCCGGACGCAGCTTGCACGGACGCATTAGCCAATCGGAGACGGAGCTCTGTTGCTTCTTAACCCAATCCTGCAGCTCGGCGCGCTGCTTCTGCTGTTGCTCCAGTTCGCTAACGGATGCAGTCAGACCACTCAAGTGGGATTGCACCTAAGCATAAGTAAAGGTAAAACAGTATTAAACAAACATTCGAGTTTATGTTGTCCGTCGAGTGTGCAAGAGTTTTAGTTCTAAGTAAAGAGAGCAAAGCCAACACCTCCGTTGCGGGTTCGAGTACGCCTTACCTTAGCGGCGAGTGCATTCAGCTTGCTCACGTGTGCGCTATTCATCTGTATTATGCGACGATAATTTTGAATACGCTTGTAAGCAATCGGATCCGACAGCGCCTCATTCACATCGCTGAGCTCAACGTCGAGATCGTTGTCATCCTCGGTTGAGCTCTGAGTCTTTGACGGCGGTTTCTTTATATATAGTTTTTTTTTTTTTTTTGAGGAAAATGCAAAGCGAACAGGCAGGCGGCGAGCAAGGTGGGCGTGGTAGTGGGTTTTTATTTTATTATGCAACAACAACAACAGGAGTTACGGTGCAGCAAATCAACAAAAGTTAGAGCGGTGTTTGGTTGGAAGTAGTTGGTACAGTTGATTGTAGTTGATCAAGTTTGTGTGGTTGGTGTTATTAGGTATAAAAGTAGATTTGAAAAATATAAAATAAAATTAACAAAAAATGTTGAAGTTAGGGTTTAAAAAAAAGTTAAAAGGTTTTTCTTTTTAATGTACAATTTGGCGAAAAGATGGAAAGAAGGTAAAATTAATCATACTCTGTCTAAATTTAAATTGATAGGTAAATATAAATCAAATACATAGCCATAGGTATCCTGGCCTTTTTAATGTTTCTACATCAAGCAATATTAAATAATTTATTCTTTGTAAAAAAACGTAAATCTGTAGACTGATATTTTCAGCCTATTTTTCTATTTATCCTTAACTCATTTTATGATTTCATATATACCTCCGTGACTCTCGTAAAGTCGTGATAATTCAGTATTATTATATGTATTTAATAGCTATTAAATCTAGAGATTTTGGGATTTAAATAACATACATTCCATGTCTATATATCCCTAAACAGCGAAATAACTCGCATTAGATTAATATGGAACCACCACAAAACCAATGAGCTACAAAAGGTTTAATCTTATACGTGTACCAAATACATATATTCATATGTCCACAAACTATATCTGTTAAATATCCTATATACTGTATGCCCTGTATCCTTCCCTGCATCTACATCGCCATATACGACTTTAGTTAATATTTTTATTAAATGAAAAGACAACAACTACAAATGCATATAATATCATAAGGCATATAATACCAAATGCATAATAAATACCAATAAACAAGGCAATGAAATTGAATATATGACCCACCTGATCCAGCAGATCTTCCAGCTTGGCGCGCACCATTAGTTCGCGTTCGGGTATGGCATGCATGGCCGTCTCTAGGGGCGAGCTGGGCCGGCTGATGGATGCTGTGGCTGCTTCACAGGCCTGCACGGCCGCTGCCAGCCTGGATTTCTCGTTGTTCAGTTTATTTTGCATATCCTGAGCGCACTTGAGTTGATTCTGTGCCAGCTCCAGGCTAGTGGCCGGGGCATCCAGTTCGGTTTGTATGATGGGCTCATAGGCCTCCAGATTGCGCATGATACTGTCCAGGGTATCCTCGTACTCCTGGAACTTGGCCAGCGATTCGAACAGACGATTCTTGATCTGCACCGACGTCTGCAGCAGCGAGTTGTAGCTCTCATGTATGTTCCTCATCTGCGATTCGATAGTCGGACGTACCGTCGACGTCGTTGGCTCATAGCGTTTAATCTGCGCCTGACCCTTGGCATTCAGATCATCCACGTTCGTCTGATACCTTTGAATCTCGGCCAGCAGTGCCTCGTGCTGTTTGATTTGCTCCTGAGTTTGTTCGCGATTCGAAATGAAGAGCGAATTGTGCGCCATCAGCTGGAAGGAGATCTGCAGCAGCCATTTCTCCACGTCCTGCATAGTGTGGTAATAGTCATTATACTCGAGCATCTCCTGCTCCAGATCGCGAATGTAGCCAGCACAATCGTTCTTCAGCTTATCGCAGCGCGACTGCAAACGATTGACGGCATCCACCTCGGTGCCCAGGTCACGTGCCTCCGACATCAGCTGCTCCAGGTCGTTGCCCTTCTGCTTGAGCTCGTTGCCGAGCGTCTTGTAGCGCTCGAGCAACGTTTTCATCTCGCTCAGCTCGCTCTTTGTCTGAGGCGCTACCTTCAGCTTATTCTCGGCTTCGATTAGCCACTTATCGAGCTTCTCCTTATTGGCTGCAAAGTCATTCCAACGATTTTGGGCTTGCTTCAAGTCGCTGAGCTTCTGTTTGACAGCCAGGCCCAAGGCATCCCAGTCTTCTCTCACCTTGGTCATCAGCTCACGCAACTTCTCCTGCTTGTCCTCGGGTGTTATATTCGAGGCCTTCGAGTAGGCATCCTGCACCATGACCAGCAAGTGCTGGCCCTCTGGCAAATGGGAGGCCAGCGACTGCAATTGAATGGAATAGTTGCTTAATAAAAGCGAAAGAGATGGATCAATCGAATAACTTACATTGACTGTCTCCAATTTTTGTGCAATGATTGAGGCATCGCCATCGATGCTGCAATCGTTGAGCACTTGCTGTGCCTTCTCGATCCAGGCGTCCATTTCCTTTTTGTAGTTGAGGAACTCGGTATGATCGGACAGATTCTTTTCGATCTTGGCCACCAGGCCCTGGGCGGATGTCAACAATTTCGTATAATTGGCCTGAGTCTCGATGGTTTGATCACGAATGCGAGTGCAGGCGCTTTGCTCCATCAGCAGCTCGCAGTTGTCGTTCAGATCCTCGACATTCTCACGTTCAGCCAGCACTTCGTCAAGCAGTTTCTAAGAGGGAATACAGTATTAGTTAAAATGTTTAACTCAAGAACTGATTTGTTTCTATAGGCACAAAAAGCATAATTAGCATTAGACAAAGTCTGTGTAGAAATATGATTAGCTGCAATAGTGTGAGTGTGGTGAGAGTGATTAGCTGAAAATTTAGCAATTCTGATTAGTTGTTTTTTAGTATGTGAATCAGTTAATAAATATATATATATATATATATAGATGTTGATATATATCTAGATATATAGTGTAGATATACATTTAAATTTTGCTACGGGGTGCACTCTTGCGAGTAATTTTAGTACATTTAAATTGATTATAGATATTTTTCATTTGGTTAGCGTTGCGTGCGACAGTTGCGTGAGATTTGACGAGAGACTTGTTGCTTACCTTGGCATTGACCAAATCTTCGGTGGTTTTATTATCAGCTTCCTGCGATTTGGCAACGCGCTTGCTCATTGTGACAATCCACAAATTGATTTTGTTGAACTTTTGCAGGAATGTCTCCCAGGCGGCCAGACAGGTCTCCAAGCCGCTGCGCGCATCTCGCGATAGAGCCTGCAGCGTTTCCCATTCTCCATTCAGATGCTTGATCTCTTGGGCCACATTATCCTGACCCTCGCTGCCACTGGTGGCGATTACCGCCTGGCTGAGCTCCTCGCAGGCATCGAGCAGGGACCTGCCCTCCATGGAGGCTGCCTGTATATCGCCCAGGCGATTCAGTCGCTCCTCCACCTGATCCTTTTCGCCATGACAATCGGCGCACTGCTCCACCTCGATGCGCGTGCGGCGGAGCCAGTCCTGCAGCTCATTGTAGGCCTGCTTGTACTTCTCGTGATTGTTCACTTGGTTCTCGAGCGATTCGATGATCTTGTTAACCTGCGCTTGCAGCTCATCAAATTTGTTCAGACCAGGCGCGAAGTCATTCTTGTCCAAGCTATTGTCCTCGCGCAGCCGTACATTGATCTTCTCCACAATGTCGTTGTGTCCATTGATGTCGCGCTGTGTGACGCGGAATTTCTCCAGCGCTGCTCGCTTTTCGCTCAGGTCATTCAAATACTCCTCGCTGGCCTTGACGCTGGGCTCAATGTCCTCCAGCCACTCGAGCAGAATCTTGTACAGTTTGAAGATCTCCTCCAGCTGAGACAGGCGATTGGCCAACTTCTGGCGCACTTCGTTCAGATCCACAAGCAGCTTGTCAAAGTCCTGCTTGAGGGATTCGGTATCCTCTTGAATCTTAGCTGCGCCATTCTGCTCGGTATTCATAATGACCTTCTCCTTAAGCTCCAGCAGATAGCGAAGCTTGTTCTGGCCCGTTTCGAAGCCTTGCCGCAAATTCTTGACCGTATTCAACTTGATTTGCACCTCGTTCAGTGTGCCGGGTATTTGCTCGCATTCGGCTAGCTTCTCGCGAGTATTCTCAATCCAGGACTGGCATTCCTCGTAGAGCGAATGGTGTTGTTGATGCTCCTGGTAGTGCAGCTCCAAGCGTCGCATAACCTCCTTGGCCAGCGTCAGCAAAGCGTTGTATTTGGTGGTCAGCTGCATGATGGCATTGCTGATGCGAGTGTCGGAGCAGGTCTCCAGCAGAACCTGAGCCTTCATGTTCAGGTGATCGAGTGTCTTCTGCCAGTCGAACAGAGTTTGTAGATGTCCCTGGAATTGCTCGAGCACCACCTTCTTTTGGGTCAGGCTGTCCTGCAGCTTGTTGTAGGACTGTACGAGGGCTTCCGTCTTGGTCAGCCATTCGAGCGCCTCGGTATACTGATCTTGGTAGTCCGACCACTTGACAATGCCCACTTCCAGGTAGTCCTTGGCCTTGTTCAGTGCCTCCACATAGGCATCAAACTCCTCCTGTAGAAGTGCGACTTCCTGTTCAATGATTGCGCAATCCTCGGGCTCTGCTGTGCGGCAAGCAATCTCACCCTGAGCCAAAGCATTTTGTAGCTTTGTGGAGCCCTCGGGCACTTCACCCTGCAGAATCTTGAGCTGATGCGTCTTCTCGGCCAAGGCTTGCTTATCGCCCGTTGGCTCGGAGCACTTGCTCAGTCTTTCCTTGGCATTGCGTAACCAGGTGGCGAACTCGTTGCCCGCATCGATCAACGCCTGGTAGCTATCGATGGTGTTCTTCTGCTTGGCATACAGATCCTTGGCCTGCTTGGTCAGATTCTCGTACTTATCGGAGATCTCTGTAGCCGGTGCGCCCTGTTGCAAGTCAGAGGCCTTCGAGGTCACCGACTGTATCATGGGCTCAAACGAGACAATATCCTGGACAATGTTGTTGGTCTGGCGCAGATTGGCCTTGCGTTCGCTCAGCCCACTGCTCAGACCTGGCTGTCCACGCTGCGACTTGATAATCTTTTGCTCGCACGCCTGTTGCAGCTTGGCCTCTCGGTCGGTGATCCATTGCTGCAGCTGCGTATAGCTGGAGCTGTAGTCGGCCCATTGCAGCAGATTCGTCTCTAGCTGCACCTTGGCTGTGGACATTTTCTTGACCAGGCGATCCCAATCGGTTTGCAGCTCCTTCATTTCGCTGTTAATGGCATCGCGTCCATCGGAGCGCGTATTACGAATAATCTTCTCGCCATTATTGATGGCTGTGTGCACAAGATTTTGGCCATATTCACGATTGCGTATCAGGTCCTGAATCTGCTCGAGGCGACGTTGAAGCGCCTCCTTCGAGCCAGCTCCGTCGCCAGCAGATTGAATAGTTTGCTTGGCATTCGCTATCCAATCCCTGGCCGACTTCATATTCGCATCGTATTCGTGATGCTGATCGCGATTGGTTTCGACCTTCTTGAGCACATCCTTGGCCAAATTAACCTGTACCTGATACATGGAGCCCAAGTGTCTCAGCTGATTGTTCACATAGCTATCCAGATGGGATTTGAGCAGACCCGCAGCGGAGGCATTGAACTTATCAATGTCATCCTTGCCCTTTTCCAGGCGAGACATCACCTCACGCATATCGGCCACCTGCTTCTCCTTGTCGGGCAGATTGGGGCAGAGGTTAAGCTTATGGTTCTTGACAAGTATATCGATCTGTTGTAGCCATTCCATGAGACGCTCATACTCCTCTTTATATGCGCGCCATTGCACCATGGTAACTTCCAAGTTCTCCTTCTGCTGATTGATCTCGCGGAACAAACTTTCGAAGCTATCACGTAGTGCGCGTATATCATTGCGTATGATCTCTTGGCCCTGCGTCGATGTACTTGCCAGAACCACCTCACCAGTGTGCACCAAATGCTCAACCAGAAGTTCGCCCTGCGCCTGCTTATTGAGCAACGCTTCGGTGGCCTGCACGGCATTCTCAATGGCCAGCTTGTCGCTGAGGCTGCTCTGTTTGAGTGCTGGGAATTTCTCGCGCGCTCGACTTATCCAGCTAACAAGGTCGTCGTACGCTTCCTTGAATAGACGATGATCTCTGTACTGATCCTGGCGATCCGACAACAATTTCTGTGTCTTGGCAAACAGCTCATCGAACGTGTCCAGCACTTTTTGTGCCTGGAATGCAGCCTGGCTCTGTTGGCCGCTGGCAATCATTTCCTTAGCCTGAATCTTCAGAGCATCCACATCGATTTTCTCCACGCGAACCTTCTCCTCCGTGGACTTGACACGATCCAGCTGGGCGCGTTTCTCAGTCATGGTTGTCTGATGCTCACCCAATTCCTTGAGCAATGCATCCAGCCATTCGTTGAACTTGCGCACGTTTTGTACCTGATCCAGGAAACCAGACCATTGCGTGATAGAATCATCAAGATTAGCCTTGACGTCCATAATACGCAGAGCAATGCCAGACCAGAGATCCTGCAACTCTGAGAGCTCCTTGTTAATGGCCTCGTGGCCATTGGGTGCGGTATTTGCTAGCACGTGCTGAGCCTGCTCCAAGATTTTCAGCACTCGTGCAGATCCCTCGTCCTTGAGCAGAATCACATCTTGGATGGTGGCCAGTTTCTTGTCGAGTTCCTTTTGACTCATCGACGACATGTCCGAACAGTAGTCCAACTTCTCCTTAATGCCATTTATCCACGATGCGCACTCGCTGATGGAGTTATCAAAGTCCTCGTGAGAGCTGACATATTGCTGCCAGCGATTATTCAGGTCCTTGACTTTGTGGAAGATTTGCTGATATTTGGTAACCAATTCGGGGCCAGACGAACGAGTTGTGCTGGGTCCCTTCAGCAAGGTCTGCGCCTTCTCCGTAACATTGTCCACTTCCAATTCCTTGGCGCGCACATCACCTTGCAGTGCCTTCAGTGTATCCAACTGGGCGCGCTTCTTGGGCAGATCCTCTTTGAGATCGATGGCATGCAACTCGTTGTCGGTGTCCCGAATCCAGGCCAAGCACTGATCACGCAGCTGCTCATACTCCGACCACTGTTGCAGGCGTGCATCAATTGCTTCGATAGTTGAGCCGATGGCTGCCAGCAGACCTTCCCATTCCTGTTGTGTTGTGTCGATCTGGGATTTGATATTCACTTGACCCACATCAACGGTGCCGGGGATCACCTTCTCGCCCAGCGCACGGACTTGATCCACGCGTGGGAACTCGTCGGCCAGACTGGCCTTCAGGTTTTTCAGCCGATCTAGATTGGTATGCAAAGAGGTTTGCTCCAAATCCAGATCGCCCCAGTAGTGCACAGTATTCAAAGTGGCATCGATGAACTCCTGTGCATCCATGACAGCCTTGGAGTATTGCTGATGAGCACTCACAATGCCCTCATACCGTTCCACATAGCCTTGGGCGCGCTTTTGCAGTTTGCCAAAACGATCTGTGATATCCTTTAGGATCTGATCCACATGTTCAGTTTTCTCGGGCAAATTCGCTGCAATCTCCTGGAGATTGCCAACTTCCACTTGGTGATTGGAGATATCATTCAGCACATCACGATAGGCCTGCAGCTTGTTGCGTTTCTCGTCCAGCGTGGTCTTCAGCTCAATTTCAGCGGGCAGTTCACGCTCCACATTGTCGAGCCAGCTCTTCAGACTGTCAGCGGTCTCATCAAAGCCTGACCACTTGGCAATCTTATCCTGTATCTTGCGAGCTGTACTAGCAATATTATCGAACAGCTGATCAAAGGTAAGATCATTCAGTTGACTGCGTATGGCCTCACGTCCTTCGGTGGCTGTGGAGCTGTAGCACTTCTCACCCAGCTCGACGGTGCTATTCAGCAGCTGTGTTGCTGTGGGCTGCTGTGCCAGCAGCTCCTGGATGATTAGCTGTTTCTTGAGCAGATCATCGCGTGATGCCACCGTAGACAAATCGCTGCAGTCATCGTAGCGCGCCTGTGCATTGGCCAACAGGTCAGCGCATTGCTTGTACTTCTCGTTGAAATGAGAATGATCCTGAACAGCTTGTTCGCATTTCTTGAGTATTTCCTTTGCAGTTGCTTGGATGGACTGGAAACGCGATGAAACCTGTTGCACATTAACAGCGATTCTCGTTTCGCCCGAACTTTGCACCAACTCTGAGGTGTCATCCTTCATTTTCTCAAAGTCAGCTTCGTTCTGGCGCAGAGTCTGAGTCATGGACTGGAAGCGATTCAACTGATCTTCCTTTTCCTCAAACGAGTTCTTTAGGTTGTAGTTCTTGAGCGTATTCTCAGCTTCGCCCAGCCAGTTGATCAAGCGATCCAAATCGATCTCATAGTCGTTCCATTGCTGCAAACGATTCTCCAGACCGCTCTTCACATCGCTCAGCGATCCGCCGAACTTTTCGAAATCAGCATGCAAATTGGCCAAGTCACGTGTCATGGCTTCCTTAGAGCGAGCTGGAATGCTGCTCGCATGCTGCTCGATGTGCTCCTCAAGGGCTTTCAGCTTGGCAACACCCTCTGGTAGAGCATCCTGGATTTCATTGATCTTTTGGAGACGCGCCTGCAGAGCAGCCTTGTTGCCCGAGTAGTCAGAGTAGCCGGTCAGGCGATCCCATAGGTTCTTTTGATAATCCTGCTGTGCTTTCTGCAGCTCACTGAACTGCTGATATACCTCGAATGCGGCATCGAGATCTGCAACCAGCTTAGCACAATCCTGGCCAACCTGTTCATAGCGCTTGTTGATATCAGCCACAGATTTGGCGATCTCATCAGCATTGGCTGGGGCGGCGCTACTCAGTAGAGCTGCTGCCTTCTCATTGACAGCCTCGACAATGCGCTTGTGCGAGTTGATGTCCTGGTTGGTCGCCTTGTATTTATACAGCTTGGAGCGGATTTCCTGTGCGCTGGTCCAGCTGGCTGGGTTCTCATTGTGCAGCAACTTTTCAACCTGATCCAACCAGTTGACTGTTTGGGTCAGTATATCTTGGTAGCTGGATAGCTGTACGGATTGTGCCTCTTGACGTTTCTCCAAATTACGAATGCCTTCGTCCAGTTTATCCCAACGATCGCGTATGTCACGCAAATCCTTGCGAATCTTCTCTCTGCCCTGTGTAGATGTCTCGGGCAAAGCCTTCTCTCCGGCAGCGTTCAATGCACTAAACAAGATCTCGGCCTGCTCCCGTTCCGAGAGTAAAACCTGCAGTATATTGGAGCTTTGTGTGGGCTCATCCTTGAGTGCCTTTTCCAGCTGCGTCTCAATCGGCTGCAGCCACAAGTCCACCTCGTTATATTTGTCCTGATAGAACTGATGATCGTCCACCAGATTGGACCAGCGATTGACCACCTCTTTGCTCAACACCTGCAGCAGTTGATAACGATTTGTGATTTGCGTTGTCAACGTCTTCAGCCGATCTGCACCGCAGTTGTTGAGCAAGGCATGTGCCGTATCGCCAAAGGCATCGATTTCCTTCTCCTTTTGCAGTATGAGCTCTCGCTGTATTTTGTATTTATCCATTTGCTCGACCTTCTCATGCAACGTTGACTTCAGCTGCTGCTCACGGAACACGGCCTCAGCGTTGCGACACCATTTGGTGAGCTCTTCCAGATTCTGCTCAAATGTATCCCACTGTGAGAGTACATCCTTTTGCTTGCCCTCGATGCCCTCGATGTCATCAAAGTGACTCTTCATTGTTGTTTCCAGCTCATCGATTTCCTTCTCAAGCACCTCAATGCCCTTCTCGGAGGTGGCGGGCTTCACAGTCTCAAATTGCGCACGAATTTCGCTTATTAGTTTAATTGCCTGGGGTTTATTTTGCGCCAATTGGCCAAGGGTTTCAATTTTACGCTTTATATCTGCCTTTTCGCCGTAGGAATCATCGCACTCCAGCAGTTTGGCCTTCTCATTCGAGATCCAAGTCTTAGCAGAACTCAACGCATTATTTAATTCGCTGTGCTTCTGCACGCAGTTCTCCAGATTCTGCAGTATTTCATCGGACTTTTGCACAATATTCTGGAACAGCTGCTTGATCGACTGCAGATAAACGTTCAGGGAGTTGTCCTTTATTTGGTCCACCAAGATTTGCGCCTTGTCGCATACATTATCAACGAGCACATTGTGCGTGGTGATCTCTTGATGCAACAGCTTGTGATTCTGCAGCTGAGCGCGTTTCTCCTGGAGCGTTGTCTTCGGTTCCGTATGACTCTGCATGGCCTTGTCGACGTCCTTGAGCCACTTGGTTAGCTGATCTTGAGCTATGGTGAACTCATTGAATTGCAGCAGACATTGATCAATCTTATGCGTAGCTGAGTTCAGATCATCCGTGTAGTTGTCCCACAAGGTGCGCAGGGAGCGCAGCTGTTGACGTATGATCTCACGACCCTCAGGACTCGTGTGGCCATAGAGCTTCTCGCCGCGATCAATCAGACTCTCAAAGACAGTGGAGTCAACAATGCGCTTGTCAGACATCTCACGTAATTTGTTTTGCTGATCCTGCAATACGCTCTGATCGCCAACGATTTCATTTGTCTTGGCCAGCTCGTTGGCGCAGTTTTGCAAGTCCTGCTTAAATTTATCATAGTCCGCGTCAAAGCTGTCGTGATCCTTGACGTAGTTGACGTACTTGGCAATTGATTCCTTGCACAGGTTCTTCAGTGTCTGATAGCGTGTGTTTAGGCGAGAAAGTTTCAAATTCAAATCGGTTTCTCCTTCAATTTCTCGTCCCTGGTCCATTAGCTTATTTATGGCTACGCCGCGACGTTCAATATCCTTGGCACTCTCTTGCAGTTGCTTCAAATGAGCATTCTTAGCTTCGGCTGTGCTCTTCAGACTTTGATTCTTTACCACAGCCTCAACATTCTTCATCCAATTGTCGAGCTCTTCGATAATGGAGTCAAACTCATCCCACTTGGAGCAGAGCTGCTTGAGCTTCACTTGCGAGTCCTGGCAGAGCGACATGAATTCTTCCCATGCATTTTTCGGCTCCTCAAAGCCCTTTAGCAGCGCCGGATGACCATTGGGATGGGTTTGCTTCAGCACCGTTTGCAACAGATTGTGGCATGTCTCGAAAATGGAATCACCCTCGGGCTTATGCTGCAGCAAATTCTCAACGACAATCAATTTCTCCTCGGCGCCCTCCTTCTCGAATGTGGTTTCGTTCAAAATATCGATTGCCTCCGATTTGATGGTGTTGAGCCAATCCTGCGCCTTCTCCAGCACCTGATCATAGGCTTCGTGCTGGGACACTTGATTGGCGACGGTATTAATGCGATCCGAAATCTGCTTTGATAGCGTATTATATTCCTGAATGGATTCATCCGTTTTACGCTCTGACTCATCATCGCATAGTGTTACCGCCTTATCGTGCAGCTGCTTCAGCGCATTCTTGTGCAATGTGATTTCCTGCAATTGCGTTTTATAGTTCTGAAGAGCTGCTTTCTTGGCTGCCAGTGTGGGATAGAGTTCATCGGCTGCCGTCACCTTAGCCTTGGACTCGTTCAGGTAGTGCGACACCTGAGTATAACTCTCTTCAATGGATGTCTTTTGTATGAGTACGCCCTCAACCTGTTGCATCAATGCATTGGCCTCGTCGCGCAAATAATCGTATTTCTCACGCATTTGACGTAGATCCGCTCGAATGCGTTCCCGATTCTCAGGCGAGACGACTGGATAAAGACCCTCGCCAATATCGACAGCATTGTTTAGCAACAGTTGACCATTGTCGAAGGTCTTCAGATAGTTCTTGATGGTCTGCAATTGTTGGGCCGTAGCTGACGAAGAGCCCGGAGATCCCATGCGCGCCAGTTCCTGGAACTCAATCTTGGCATCGCCAAACCATTCGTTAAAATCTTTCGATGCCTTGGCAAAGTTGGCATTCGACAGCTGAGCATTGCGTATTTTGTCAATGTGTCCGGCAAGGCTCTTGGCCACGGTTTGGTAGCGCTGCACCAAATGCGTAACGAACTGTCCAATACGCGCCTCTGGATTCTTTTCGATCAGCTGCTGTGACGTGCGCTCCAAATTGTTGATGATTGGCTCATGGGCGAGCACATCCTGCTGTAGGATGGCCAGCTCCTGCAACTTCTGCGGCACCTCGGGCAGATTCACCTGACTGCTGGTCTCCGCCTTAACGCGACCTTCCACATCACGCAGCCAGTTGGAGATTTGCTCGTTTGATTGTTCATACTGTGTCCAGAGATCAACGTTCTCATTCAGGATGTCCTTGATGCGATCAAAGCTATCCTGCAACGCTTGCATTTCCTTGCCCATGAGCTCAGCATCGGCGCTCAACTCGGCCAGGTTTTCTGGAGTTTCCACGGCCTTCAGCATCTCAAGGGATCTCAGGGTTTCAGCATGGCGTGCCTTGCAGTCGTCAATGCTCTTGCTGACCTCCTGCAACGAGGACTTCTTGACATCCAGGTTGTATTTGTCACTTGTCGACTCTGGCTGACACCATGCGACCTTTTCGCGCTGCGTGGCAATCAGACGCTTCAGCATGCCCACCTTGTCCGCGTGGAACTTCTTGAGGAACTGCAGCAACGAGCTCTCAATCTTCTTGGCATAGAGATCGACGCCCTCGTAGCGTTTCTGCACATTGTTCAGCTCCTTGGGTATGATGGACTCATTGAATGTGGGATATAGATTGCGCAGTTCATCCACATTTTGTTTGATGTTTTCGATTTCGTTGCCACTCTGATCCAGTTGAGCGCGCAGTGCGCGGCACTGCAGCAATCGTTCCATGATCTTGTTGTTATCGCCAGACATATCGTCGCATTTGATCAGCTGTTCGCGCAGCTTGCTCACCTGCTCGCCGGCCACCTTGCTGCGTCGGCGTAGCTCCTGTTCCTGATCGGCAAACGATGTGGTGACGGCGCTCAACCGCTCGGCATTGTTGCTCACCTCGGCGAATTGCTCGCCCAGCAGCTGATTGAGTGCACTCAGGGCGGGTATCTCTTGTCCATTGTTGATCTTGATCAAATCGTTGGTTTTCTCAAGGATTGTATCCTTAAGGGCTTGATAGGACGGCAGCTCGGTGCGATATTTGCTTAGACGCATAGGTCCGAATTCGATTTCGATTGAATTATCGGCAGCATCGCATAGTCCCTGATTGGTTTCCGAGAGCCAAGGTAGCAGATCCTTTTTGGCATCCTCAATTTGAGACCAAATGACGGCTTCCGTCTCGTAGACATGCGCATTCTTGGCCGTCTTGTCGTGCAGGTCCTGCCACTGCTGCTTGGCAGCGGCAACCTCTTGCTGCACCTCTTGGGGCACCGGCTCACCAATGGCTGTAAACAATTTAGCCACGTTGTTGCCGCGGCGTTCGAGTTCATCGAGATTCATCTTGGATTTGCGCAGCTGCTCCATAGTCTTACGCGTCTTCTCAGACGCCTGATGCAGAGCGGTTTCATCGCCTGGCTGTTGGGGTATGGCATTGAACAAGTCTTCGGCTTTCTTGAGTTCCTTGGAGAACTTGTCCTTGGACTCGGCGTACTCGCGCAAGGCCTGGCTGATGAGATTATATTTTTGTATGCGATCAGCTATTTCATTTTGCAGCGAATCGTAGTTCTTATCCAGCACCAGGAGACTCTCCTGAATGGCCGGCATGCTGGCAATATCCTCACGCATCAGTAGAGAACCCTCGTCGTGAATACGATCCTTCAGGTCTGCCTGATACTTGAGCGCATCATTCAGCGCCACAAGATCGGCAATGATTTGATCAATGTTATTCAAATTGGGATGTTGCTTGAGAATTTGGTCGAGCTTTTCACGGTTCTCCTGCAGTGCCTGACCAAAGTTGTGCTCCAGTGCATGGAACTTGTCTTTGCGCACAGTCATCTGCTGCAGTTGTTGCTGTTGATTCTGCGAACGGAGTTTCAGATTCTCCAACTTGTTTTCCAAATCATTAACGATCTGTGTGGCGATCAGTGGTCGACGAGAGAGTGCATCGCGTAGCTGTATGGCTGGATTCTCATCGATCTCCTTGGCTTGTCCCTTCCAGTAGCTCAGACCCTGACCCAGATTATCGATTTCATCGATGGCCTTCTTTAGCTCCTCGACAGAGGGTCCTTCGGGCTTCTCCAACTGATGCTTCAAGTAGTTCAAGTGCGATTCAGTATCATGTTTCCAGCCCAAAAGCTCGGTCCACTTCTCCAGTGCGGCCTTCTTTTGCAGCATGTTCGACTCCAAGTTCTGGTAGTTCACCACAAGGGCGGTATACGCATCATTCAGTGCGTTGGATTCTTCTGGAGTAGCGCCCAGTGCCAGCTGCTTGACCTCATCGTAGATGGCATTGAAACTGGGCTTCTTGTCGGCATGCTCCTGCAGCAGTGCATGGATGACATGCAAACTGGTCTCGACGCGCTCCGGATTGATTTCCTCGACCTGTGTAACCTGATTGCGCAACTGCTCCATCCAGTTGGAGAAGTTGACCAATTTGGCATTGAAGTCTTGACGCGAAATAATCGCATCGGAGACCTCATTGATGTTGCCGCGTGTGGCCTCTGACAGCTTCTGCAATTTGCCCTTCATATTATTGACGCGATCCTTGACAGCTACAGCGCCCTCTGGCGCCAGATGCAAACTGATTTGATCGGCATTTTGGCCAAGAGCGACCAACTTGGCCTGCTGCTGAGATATCTCATTGTTGAAGGACTTTAGCTTGACCAGCTCCTTTTCGAGCTTGTCAATGTGCGGAGTATTTAGCACAGCCGGACGCTTACCCATCTGCTGTGCACCCTGATCAATCCAATCCTCCAATTTGGTGGCATCGCCATCGAATGACTTCCAATTGGCGACGAGCTTTTCGAGCTTGGCGCTCGCCTGTTTCGCGTTTTCATGGACCGCTGTCCAGCGGGAGTGCATGGCATCTAACTCATCGGGGGCATTGGTTTTGCATAACATTTTATGACTGATGTTTGATATGCCATGGAGTTTGTCCAATTGCTCCAGGCATTGTGTTTCAAATTGTTTGGCATTTTGTTGCAAGGCAACGGCTTCGTCAAGTGTGATAGGCTTAGGAACTATATTATTTACCTTGACTTCGCTTTGCTCCACAGCGGGCTTGATCTGTTGCAATCCGGCCTGGAATTGCTGCCAGTTGATCAGATCCTCCTGCACGGTCTGTGCCTGATGGTCCACATTGCGATTGATGGCACTGAGCACCTCCTGCAGCTTGGAGATCTCACCCTTGAGTCGTTTCGCTTCGGCAACGTTGCCCTCTTTGGGTGCCAGCTCCGATGCATCAGCGGCCAGTAGATCCAGCTGTTTCATGCGCTCGCCGAGCACACGCTTGAAGGACTGCACCTTGACGACGCGCTCCTCTGGCGTCAGGTCCTCGGATTGTAAGGCCTCAATGTTCTTGGGCGCCACCTTGTTGGCCCATTCCTGCAGCTCGGCTAGACGCGTCTTGTAGTTGTTCCACTTGGCACTGTAGTCCTCCAGGTAGCCCACACGATCCTTGACATGCTCCATGGTATTGAAGAACATCTTCTCCACCTCGGTCACCTCCTTCTCGAGTATGGGTCGCTTATCGGCAGCGGCTAGCGGTGCCAGCTCCGATTTCAGGGCATGCAGCTTGGGCAACAATTGATGCGATGCCTGCTGCAGCTGCACATTCAGATCACGCTTCGACTTCAGATCCTGGCTGACGTTCTTGGGATCCGTCTGGAGTGGTGTCAGAGCGCGCAGCTCTGTCTCAGCGGTTTGCAGCATGGAGAAGATATCGTTCTTCTGGTCGACAAACTCGCTCCACACTGCCTGAGTGCCCTTGAGCGCTTGCAGCTTATCTGCGGTTTCGGTATAAGCTTGATTCCAGCCGGTCTCCAGATTCTTCACCTCGGCATTGACAAAGGCCGGGGCGTGCACATCCTTGCTGAGATCACGTCCACGTTGCAGCATGGACATGATGTGTGGCCGCTGATGGTCGAGCTGATTGATGGCATACTGTTGCTCCTCAATTAGACGATTGACACGGTCCAGACTTTCGGGCGCTGGAATATTGGCCGTTTGATCCTTGACCTTGGTCAGCAGGCAAACAACTTCGTGCACCTCGCGACGATACGTATAGCATTTGGAGAACACCTCAGTCTTGACCATTGTTATCTCAATGGTGGGTATTAGGTTCTTGTAGCGTGCAATTAGATCTTCCAGCTTCTTTTGCTCCACATTTGCCTCCTCTTCGGTGGCATAGCTGAGCAGAGAGTCTAGCGTTTTGACCAGCCACTTCATGTCCTCACGTTTGTTATCTGCATCCTGGCAGATTTTCTACAATGAGAAAGATTCGATTAGTGTCATTCAGAAAAAGAATATATATGTAAATAAATCTAATATATTTAAATTTATTTTAGCAAAAATCAAGTCAGTTACCACAAGTTCCCTCAGCTGCATGCAAGCAGAATAAATGTTGGCAAGTCAAATATATATTCAGGTATTTCTTATCGATTAACAGTTAACTCACCTGGAAAACGACCTTCTCCTTTTCAAACTCCTCCATGGTGTTGACCTCGTTAACAATGTTCTTAAGGCTCTGATCGACGCTGTTCATCCAGTTGATCATCTCGTCGAACTTCAGATGATAGCCCTGCCATTGAGCTGGTATTTGCTGTAGTGTCTGGCGCATGTCGGCCAATTTATTGGACATGATTTGCCACTGGGCCTTGGCATTGTCGTAGGCCTGGTCCAGGCTAAAGTCGCCGGGCTGCTGTTGCCTGTGCGCCTGGGCCAAGCGCTGCATATTCTGCAGGCATTTCTCCAGGCGTGGCACCGTGTCCTGTTGCACCAGGAATTGCTGATTACGCTGCAGGATCGATTCGACATCCTCGTTACGATTCAGAGCCTGTTGCTCCAGCTGCAGCTCCTTCTCAACATCCTTCAGGGACTGATAGAACGCATTCTCGTCCAGACGGAATTCCAGCTTGAGCAGGTGCAACGGCGCCTGGCCAAGCACGTTCTTCCAGCGCGACTGCAGCTGCTCCACACTTTGCACCACAGCCGGCTGCTCCTGGCTGGGCAGAGTGTTCAGCAGCTGCTGGGCCGACTGCACCAGATCGTTCATCCAGCGATCGTTGACTTGTTCGAAGAAATACTTTTGCGTCTCGATTGTTGTCTTCGACTCAATGTGCTTCTCCACGAGCATCGACTCGGCCTGTGTCAGCCATTCGTTGACAACACGTTCGTTGTCCTTGAACTTACTCCAGCCGCCGGCAGCATCCTCCAGGCGTTGCTCCCACTTGCCGGCATTCTGTATGACATAGTTGAAGCGTTCGTTCAGCTGTTGCATTTGCTGTGCGGCTGGGGCCGTGTCGATTTTATCATCGGCCGAGACAGCCTTAACCAAATTCTGGAACACCTTGTTCTTGCTCTCCAGCATGGAGCGATAGTAGACGGTGCGCGAGAAGTAGGTCTTGTGCTTGTGCAGCTGCTCATTGATAGATTCGCGTCCTCCGGCCAGATTGTGGGTGCCCAGCAGCTGCTCGGCTTCGGTTAGCCATTGGTGGATCTCCTTTTGGCCCGCTTCCAGCGACTCCTGCTGTATCTGCAGCTGGTGGAACAGATGCAGCTTGGCGGGCAGTTGGGCGCGTATGCGCACCAGCGATTCCTTCTCCTGCTTGAGCAGCTTCATCATTTTGTCGACCTCGTCGCGCGACAGATCCTGAATGAGCGACTGGAAGGTGCGACTGATGTTCTTAAACAGTTCCTCGTTGTCGTCAATTTCGCTGGCCAGCTGCTGCAGCTGCTCGCCATAGCGACGGATTTGCTCGCTGTTGCCCAGCACTTGACGCTGATCCAGGACGCTCTCGGCGCCACGCAGCCACTTGGAGAGCTTCTCAATGCCAGATTTGTACTCCTGGCGTGAGCGTATGATGTCGCCAGCATGCATGTATTGCTTGGTATTGGCGAAGAGACGCTCGAAGCGCTCAGCCAGGGCGCCGTGACGTTGACGCAGCTGCTGAGCAATTGGCTCCTCGCAGGAGGCAATCAGATAGTTTGCCGCATTGGCCAGAGCATCGAATTTATCCTTCCACACAGTTATGTCCTGGAAGAACTCCAAGCGATCGTCTTCGCTCTGGTTCAGCTTCTGTTCGGCCAGCAGCAGCCACTCCTCGCAGCTGGGCGCCAACTGATTCCAGTTGCGCCAACAATTGACCACCTCCTCGAGAGAATTCTGACAGCATTTCAGCTCCATGGAGACACGCTTCCAGCGCTCCTCGGTCTCGTACATAAAGCGATCGATTTCGTTGATGTCCTTGCGGGCCACATTGCCCTCACGTTTGTACTCCTCGACCACTTGTTGCATATCGACGAATGCCTTCTGGAACTCCTGGAAGATCTTGTTGCGCGATACGAAGTTCTTATATTGCTCCAGCTGGTGGGCGACCTTCTCCTCGGACCCGTACTTGCCGGTCCAGCCACGCATCTTATTCTCCACCAAATTAAGGAAGGCAATCAGACAGCATTTGTGCTCGAGGAATTTCATGCGAATCCGGCGCTCCGCAGCCCTGGGGCCCACCTCCTGCAGGCGACGCTCCATGTTGCGCAGCTGCTCCAGTGGCACCTGTTGGGCCAGCGGCGAGCGCTTGGCATTGTCGAACATGGCCACAATGCGTGGCAGATCGGCAAAGAACAGCTTGTGCTCCTCCAGCTTTCTACTGATCACAGCGGCTGTTTCCTCATTCATCGCATTCGGTATATCGTTGTCCATGAGCAACTTCTCGGCCTCGGCCAGCCATTTGCCCACAGCACCAAAATCGCCGGGCAGCTCGGCGTCCAATAGCCAGAGCCAGTACATCATCTGGTATTGCAGACGCTGCCACAGCTCGTTAATCTCATCCCACGATTGACGTGAGACCTGCAGAAAACCGCTCTGGCTCTCAATCAGTTGCTTGAGCCGGTTATACGCAGGCAAGTGTGCATCGACTTCAGAACGTGCCAGCAGATATTCACTAAAATCACGTGGGAACGAACTCATCATGACCATCGGCTCATATTCGGTGGTCTTCTCCAACAGGAAACGACGCAATTCGTCCACTTCTTGTTGCACATGCGACTCGTCACGGGATGCACCCTAGAAAATATATAAAGAGATTAGTTAAAATGTGTTATGTGGATACGCTACTTTATACTACAGGTATTGTCTACCCTATATATAAGTTATAGTCTAACTCAAGTGACCTTAGGATTTCCTTAACTATCCTCATAATGGACTTTGAGATTCACTAATTCATACCATCAATTGTATACACACCTTTGGTTCGGGATACTTGTGCAAGAATTGCGCCACATATGTCATTATGCTCTTCTCATCCGGTTTGGGTACGTCCACATCCTCAGCGTCCAAAATTTTGGCAATGCCCAATTTGCTTTCGGCCACATCGAAAGCTGTTTCCAAACGCTGACGATTGCTGGTCTTCTTTAGCTCAGCTAAATTAACCAGATTCGCTTTGATAGCATCGATGAGTGCGAGGAAAGCGACGCCATCTCTCCAGCTAGCGCCGAAATCCTTAACCTCTACACCACTGTCTCTGTAAAAGTTCGATATGTATCATAATCGGAATTGAAATCTATTAATTTATATACTCACTTTGGCAAGGCATTCGTTACCCAATTGAGTAGCGTTTTCTTGGCACCTTGCTTCCATTTCTCGGCTCTTAGATCACCGCCAGCCTTATGCTTGCCAACACTGTCGAGCGAGCTAACCGAACCGCCAATACCATGACCCAAATATTCTAGGTTGCGGCTATTCTCCTCGATCTGCGAAAGTAGTCGATATTAGAGAGAGAGATACGTGGTAGAGCCAACAGCGACACAATGATCAAATCATAAGTTTGAGGTGCTTTAATAATTGAGACTACCAACTTAAGAGTTTAATGATCGAAAATGAGAGAGGGTTACGCATAGACAACACACCAACAACTGTTTACAACGAGTTCAACCTACCTGTGGCGCATAATTTATAACTACAACTAAGTTTTTCCGCCTCTTTTTACGAAGCTTGTTTTTTTTTATTTTTTTTTTTAGATTTTAATATTTTTTTTTTCAATATTTTTAAATAAATACAAAAAAGAAGATATAGAGGGTTAATTACATTTATATAATTAGCATTGTGAATAGCTATTTGGTGCTTCATAAGTTGGTGGTCGAAATTAGGGGTGACAAAATGGACCGCTAGCAACCAATTAGTAGTTGTTTTTATATATTTTTTTTGAAGTGCTTCAAGTTTTTGGTGAAAAAAACCGTGCACTCTGTGTCGAGGGTGAAATATTTTAACTGCTTATATTAGTACTGAAATGCTCACCTGGAAGTACAATATAATCGTCCATATCAGACCCAACACAACTGGTGGTCTCCCATCCACCAGATCTGCGGGATTAATATTGACCAATTTGATGCGTTTGCTGGCTAAAAATTGCAGAGCCGTATTCGCATTGCTAAGGAAATGTGGACGTCTCAGGACGCGGCCCTTCTCCACGGGCAAACGTTCGCCGGACAGCACTTCGAGCAGTGCGATGAGTTTCGTGCCATCGCGCAAATCATTGATTAAATCATCAATACGAAGCGGTGGAACACGCTGCAAAAGGAGAAT